TGCAGGACGCGAATTTGGTCGAGCGTACGTATGTCTGGAGAAAGTCTGCCGTGTACGCGTAGTGCTCCTCCGGCGGTGATCTGATATAGGTTATAAGTGGTGTTAGTCGGGGATGCGTGGTGACATACTGCAGCGAGGTTCAGACTCGATAGTCGAACACGCCGTACAGCAAGCTTTCCATACTGCGGTGCTTCCGTATTGTTAACAGCTGGCCGTGAATGTCGCCGCAGATGGTGACTGGTGTTAATACAGGCCGGATGCTGGATTCCTCGAGGAGGATGGCTTGGACGGTGTCGCAGAGGATTTTCATGTCTTGTTCGGGCAGATGTTGGCAGTCCATCAGTTGGGCGATGCATCTGTCGGGGTCGTAGGCCGTCGTCGTCGTCACAGTTGTCTGAGTGGCTAATTAGCGCGTCTCCAATCAGTTCCTAACCCACAGTGGCGGTGAGCTGGGCAATGAGGGGCGGAACAGTTTACCCCATTCACACAGGAAGGGTCTGCCCATGTCATGTCGCAAATTTCTTGGGCACGTGATAAGAACCTTATAATACATGTTAAGGTGGCTGTTCACACTTCCGTTATAAGCCATGGCAATGCCACCCATGTGTCATTGAAAGATTACCAAAAATGGGTATTTGTACATAATATTTTACACATTTGCACTATATCTTAGATAAAATATCACATATTTGCTATAATCTAGCCAAACCTGACCATTATAATGGCAAGTGGTCCATTACATGCTGCTTACAATGGGGGCACGTGACAATGGACCAAATAAATTTGCGACACATGTGGGAATTTGCGAACGCGGTACGTATCCAGATAGTACGACTGTCTCTCCACCCCGCAACCTGACAGGAATGAGCAGGCACCGTCACAGACGCACAGCGAGTCGCATTTTGTGGGGAGCTTCGGTGAGAACGGCGAACCTCACATTAATGTGAGAGTGTATTGGCCACACGCAAACCGTGCATGTATCCCCGCTCGTCTTTATGCCCGTGTTGGTATTGACAGCTACGATGGTATGGCGAGCAATCCTTCAGATATTCATCCCCTGTCTTTCTGAGGGGACAGGACAAGTAACGGGATACGCATTTCAATTCCCAACACACGGATAAGGTGTAATTCGACACGTAAGCAATCCTCTCTCTTTACCCTTCTCTGCCACTCACTCTCTACCTATCCAAAGGTTACCTTCGACGGACGATCTAATGACACTAACAAGATTACGCAATTTATACTGACGACGTCAACAGGCACACTTCAGTTATGGAAACACGTTGTTCTGCAGTGGTCCCGCGAGGAAGCGCTCTCGACCGTCCGCGTTGCTACTTTCGTACCTTTACCTCAACTAAGTGTATCTAGCAGCCCGTCCACCAAGATCGACTGGCATATCCAGTACTTTCCTAACCTGCCTTTAACGATTTGCCGAGAGTATCCTACAGCACTCGTATACGTACACGTTGGGCCGCATCACCCGCGAATATGGACCGATGCATAGTTCTGACGCACCTTCCGCTCTCCACAGTGATTGATTCAGGTTCCGCCATGTGATTGTTACGGCAACAGTGGATGACGTTTTGTGCGGTCTCGACTCGAGCGATGGACGGGTGATTTGGAGGCGCCTATTTGCGTTGGGTTGGGCCTCTGGCAGTGTATGAGGGACGGTTTTGGCTGTGAATATGTATGTTGTACCTGGGAATGGTGGAACGTCTGGGCAATTCCAGTGGTCAGGAAGAGGAGACGATGAAACAGACTATTGTACTGGTGACGCAGAGACGGGCGCGTAATGTATGTGGTTCCATCACCCTAATGGGCAAGTTTTACCAACTTCTTTTTTTAAAAAACCTGACATAAAGCGCCATGTGGGTGCGGTCGTATTCGAGGTGGACCCGTTAGCTGGCGATGACGTGCATCCTGAAGCTGGTGAGGGCTGCGGCACCCATCGTTCAAGGTATGATCTATTAGAAGGTTGTGATAAGGGGCCTAATGACCGAATCACTTGTTCCTGATGGGCAGGGCACTGTTGCCATTTTGGATGAGTTTCTGCAAGTAAGTTTGTGTTTTTCGTTTTTAAAACGCGTTAGCTTCTTCGTGTGTGGCTTGTATTGGTCGACTACGCAATATATGGGTTCAGATCTACCCAGATACTCCAGTTGCCCGCAAGTCCTTGGCACGTCTCGTTCCTTCACTTCACCTCGTCCTCCCGCACGCACATCTCCTGCCTTGAGTCCCAGAGCGAATGGTGACAACGATGAACTATCGACACGCACACAGCTCGTCGGACATCGTCTCGCCTTCAACGACAACGTTTCCGTACACGTCGCATATCCCACATGACAGGGATCACGCTTGGCGCTCGCGAAATGATCCGGGAGACGAATCTGAACAGGAACGCGGGTCGAGAGGCATTAGTTGTTGAGAAGGTCTTAGGAGACCGTAGAAGATTGTACAAGTACTTGAACAGGCATCTGTGGGTCGTGTTGACCGAAGCAAAGGGATCGTGCGGGTTATATGTGCTGGATAGCGTCAAAGGGATGATTTTGTACCAGGTGGGTATATCTTCCCCCGAGGGAAGATGCAACGATGTCCAAGGGGTGCTGGTTGATCATTGACCGGTGTACACGTGTTACAAAGGCGGGGCTGGTGTGGATGAAGGTTATGGGATGGGTGGTGGGGTACGAAGGGTTGGAGGATCGTTTCAGTGGAAATGTGCATGGAGAAGAAGCCGGATGATGATGCTCCGCGCAGGTATGGAATTTTATCAAGTTTAATGATACCTCCGTAATCAGGGGGGACGTTGCGGTGTGTAGAGGTTCAGGGAGAGAGCATCTGAAGTCAGGCCGCAATTAGTGGAGAGGACGGAATTTGGAATTTGTGGAGTTGACGAGCCGACAAGGCATAGAGGTGGCTGTTTCGCTCATTTCGAATCCTATCCTACCTCATCTGACTGAGGCATGTGAGCAGCTTACGACTATGACTAGTCTTCAAGGGCAAGGGTAACAACGGAGAATCCTACCAGTGGTTGTTTATTGTATTTTGCGAATTGACTGCCAAAAGATGGCTGACCACAAGAGCCTTCGGTATCGGATGTCAGCCTTCCAATTGTGCTTCTGGATGCAGCACGCCAGTCGTCTCGGAGGGAGAACCCTACCAACGTTTGTAGGCTCTACGTATATAATGATCGACAGTTCGAACACACATTGAAACTTGGATGATCACGTACCATACCTCGTCCCTTCGGCCGGCCGGCAGCCAAAAGATGGGTGACCTAGAAAGTAGCCTCGGACATCAGATGACAGGTTCCCAACTGCCATTATAAATTCAGCATGCCAGTTCGCCTGCTCTGCCCGTCCACCTTTCCTCTTCGACTATCATTATCAACGTACCCGTCCTCCCTACGTCACGATTGATGGACGATGTGGAGTACTAAGGAACCTCATGTACTCCTAGCAAACGCACTGGCCTTTCCAAGCAGGACCAGCTCCGCAGACGGAGGGACGAGTAGAGGAATCCCTGACCACATGCTGCACTGATCTTCCGCATCTGCAGCTTGAGTTACTATCACAGTATGGCATTCCAATACCTTTCGTAGAGCTACTAGATCGTCCGTTGAAAGTGATCATTAAGTGGAGTGAAAAGTGAGTGGCAGAGGATAAAGAGAGATGATCGCTTACGTTGAAGTAGTGGGAGAGATCCTCCGAGCAATCAGTAGAGCTCGGGGGAAGCTATAGGCTGATGCGTCTAGCCGTACAGTGCATGTCCTCGTCCTCGTCCGTCTGACTAAGCACTACGTGGCTGTCTCCCCATCTCCTGTCCCCAGGCCTCCCTACTTACAACGTGTCCGTATGTTGGAAATGGAAATGGAAATCCTGTTACTTGTCTTGTACCCTCCGAAAGAGGCGGAATGAACGTCTGGCGAATTACTTGCCATGTCGTCGTACCTTTCAACGCTAGGCACAAGAACAGAGAAAGGTGAGGATACATATACGGTTTGCATGTGACCAATACACTCTCGGAATGCAAGGTTTGCCGGCTTTACCAAAGCTCCCTGCGAAATACGACTCAGCGTGTGTCTGTGACGGTGCTTGCTCATCCCGTCAGGTTGCGATGTATAATATACCAGCCGGATACGAACCCCGTTGGTAATTTCCCACATCAGCCGTAGACTGTCAGTTGTACCTCATGACATGGACAGACCCGTTCAGTGTGAATGCAATAAACTATCCCGTCTCTGCGAGTCCGATGTCTTGCATATGCGTGTAGTTAACCTCGGGTAGAATCTGGACATGGCCTTTCAGTTCAAGGGTGAGCACTGCTGCTCTAATTGAGGATGATTCCAGTCACGTCAGACAAGGTCCTAGTTTGATTTCTGCAGTTATAGGCGTGTCAAGAACGAAACCGGGAAAATCTGCCGGAAGTTAGCGGGGATGTTGACAGACGCAACGGTAGACCTGTTGGCCATGGAGAGAGTTATGACGTGGAGTGTATTCCGCCTTGGACTTGGCGAGACCGGTCGCATGGACGGCATCTGGCGTCGTATGAATGCAGGAGTACACCACAAAGGACATATCCTGGTGTCTACGCGCCGCTGTGCAAAAGGAAATTGGGAAAACCCATTGTCCACAGAATTCCATACCTACACAACCTCGCCAGACTGGCTGTCTAGGCAGCTGACTGTGTCGTTATCGGTGAGCGCAAAGAACGTCCTGCTCCCCTGAACCGAAGCCCGCCTTGTTGTGATTGCCGTGTGCTGTACTCCGTGTTCGAGCGCAAGCGGGTTGTGGAGGCGATGTTCAGGAAGAAGGTGGTCCGTAAATATGTCGTGCGTGCGCGAGGTGGACCCACCAGGCCCAAATCGCAATGCGACGTCTGCAAGGAGTGTCTAATATATGATGAGACACTAGACGACAGAGACCTACTTAAGTCGTCGTTGTCTACGCCCGCAATGAGCCAAAACTTCCACTGAAAATTAAACTACCCAGTGCCCACCTAATGATCCTTCGGTAACATTGAATGCAGGGAAGATATAGTTGGCTATCGTTCTGAGGATGAAAGCTGGTTTTGAATGGAACCTAGACGAGCCTGGAATGCCGACCGACCACACCAACATCGGATTCGTGCAGCGCCCAGTTCATCCCGCCAATGACATTGACGAGACGAGCAGGCTCAAGTGCAGCGCTGAGTCAAAGGGAGGATTTTTTCAGCGCTTCAGCTTTCAGAGCTTCTCATGTATTCCTATGCATTCCTACGAGGCTACGCATTGGCAATTAAGGCACCGCACGATTCGATAGATGGGACGTTTGCCGCTGACGATATCGCTGTCGTATTACATCTTACCTCTTCCATCTCGCTGGAGTGGTACATACGTTGATGAGGCTACTGATGGACGCGAGACAGAGGTGAGACCCGGATGTGTGTTGTCGCGTGTGGCCTTGGTTTTGTGAGCAGATTCGGATCCTGATGGAAGGGAGTAGAGGACTGAGGGTATCAGCGTGTGAGGACATGGCGGAGCCCAAAGATTTGGCGGGACCGAGGGTGGGGCCGAGGACATTTGGTGCATGCGGTGGAACAATTTTCTGGGATTGGATGATTGTAGATATTGCCAATACGTCACCAGGTCTTCCTGCGGTACGTCTCCGCCAACCCTTGCCCTATGCATGACCTCGTGCAAACGAAAACACCGGACCTTGTGGAGCTCAGGGGCCATTGCTGGGGCGTGTACGGCCAGATCCCCATCGATACTCTGATCTTGGAGAACACGATGTGACTTCGGCGCAGTGAGGCTTGAGGACAGGGCCGACCATATATTGGGTGCCTTGTCCAAGTCCATGATGCATCGTTCTTCTCCCCTCTAACTCCAGGACAAGCTGTGTTAGCGGGTTTGTTAGCGATACGGATGGGTACGTACTAGTAGCCAGAGGGGCTGAGGCAGCCCTGATCAGCGCCATCTGCCCCACCCACATCCCAATCCTCCAAAATTACGGATTAGCTGGCACTAATGGTTCATCCAGGGGGGCCATACCTCTTCATCTTTTTTCGGCACTGGGGTATAAAGCCAAACAACCACATTCTCGTGCCGGCGCTTCGCCTTCACAGCATCAATGAGCGCCTCATAACCAGCTTCATCGGCAACTTTCTTTCGTGGGGCGCCTTGTGCTTGATTCTCAAACTTCCATTCGAACTTCGAGACTGGAAGCGCTGACACTCGACAAGACAAGGCTTTTGCGACACGAGACTTAAAGGAGAAAAAAGCAGAAGTGGTATCACACTTGAAGGGTCCCTTGGAGGTGATTTTGGTCACCGAGACCTTTGTAGATTTCCCACCTGGTTTTCGAGAGTCCGGAGAGGTAGCCCACACTTGAACATAGACTGTGAACAGTCGTGGTTCGTCTACAGGTGCATCTATTGTTGAACAGTCTTCCTCTGCACTCAGATCTGCTTGAACTTTCGTTTTCTTTCGTTGCTTGGGTTCGCGTTGTGCAGCTTTAGTTCTCTGGTTAACCGCATGAGTAGCAGTAAACTATGGTGGATTTCAGTAGTGCACACCTTTTTCGATGATTTCTGCAGTAATGATTCATCCTCTGAGCGTGAAATTGAGCCGCATTCAGGCTGCTTTCGCCCGCACAAAGTTCTAAATGACATCGGGTTGAGGTTGATGAATGCAGTCCCAGAACCTTTTCCTTGATGGAAAGCGGTCAGTAATAATGCATAGATGAAAGTTATCAGTTACCATTTGACTCTTTGCTATCTGATTGCCACTGATCCTCTACCTCAACACCGTCAGGTGTAAGCGTTCGCTTACCTTACCACTTACCGCTTGCCACTCACGCACCGTAAGCACCGTTCACGCTATCGCTTCACGTCGTCACATCTCCTATTCCCTCGATCGTGCCCTCGTCTAGGCATGCGGATCCCTCCTGCTGTGTTGTACTGTTTAGACCCTAGGAGTATATATACTAGTGCTGCATGTATGCGCAGGTCGTCTCTTCTTTTTCTCTCTTTCCTCTCACTTGCTCTGTTGAGCATCTTGTATCAGCGTATACGCTTGATTGTCTAATCCCACACGCCTGTCCACGTTCTGTCGTCGTTGTGAGCCGTTCTGAATGTACTCACCCCACAGTGGTGAGTTCCATCAGGCTCATCTGCAGCTCCAGCGTCACTCATGGCTGTGAAGTCTTGCTCCTCACAGCTGCTCTCGGCACTGTCAGTGTGGCCAATCATGTTACAGTGGAATTCTTGTGCTTGAAGGGACTCAGCGTGTTGCAAAGTTCCATCCAGAATCTCGACCTGTGCTGTCGGCACTGGCTCTGAAGCCACGGGTGTTGCGGAAAGCGGAAGAGCCCGAAGCTTGTCGACCTTGTCATCATCTGCTGGGGGAAGGTCTCGACGTCGGTTTATTTTGATTGTGAGTTTCTCTCGCTGCTGTTTGGCCATCGCTAGTAGTACGTAGACAAAATGAAGGCGACGAAAGTGCACATTCCTACATTTCCATATCGGGCAAAGCTCACGACGCGCTCACAAATATTTTGTGATTGACATTATTTTCGCAAACCGCTGTAAATTCAGCACGCCAGTGGTCTACTCTGCCCGCCCATCTTCCTCTTCAACTATCATCAGCCGTACTACGCACCTGCTCCCCAGCCCCCCTCTGCGTCACGATTGATAGATGACGCCAAGCACCGACTCTTCTCGTCGTGTCAACGGGCACTAGCGAACCTCATGTACTCCTGGCGAACGCGCTGGCCTTCTGAAGAAATTATCAATGGAGGGGCAAGAGGAACAATCATTGACTTAGTCGATACCATCCTGCACAGGTACCCCCGTGAGTCAGACAGTCACATGAATGGGTTTACCCGGTCGTACGCATTTGCAATCCGCTGTTTCGGTACAGAATTTCGATGCATCTCGGGATATTGAAGTCGACTGCAGGGTTGTCAGCAGTTCCGTCGATGCCGTTCCGTTGCCGAACGTTGGGCCTATATGAGTCGCGTGAGTTGATCACAATCTCTCCCTGGACAACATCTCACCTGTATGATATGCCATACACCAGCATCCTGATTCGATTCTCTAGCGTTTCTCAGTTGATACAAACTGTGCCTTTCGGGCTTATTGTCACCAGCGAGACACCAGCAGGCTAGCCTACTCGCTGGCCATTATTGGATTTCGCGGTATTTGCCCCCTACAAGGCAACGCGAGCGTGATCGATGACTCGCCCCATATGCAATTAAGTGGATTCTCTGTGACGACAGCCTCCACGATACGGTCGACCACCTGTAATCACCAACGACTACTCCTCGTGCGTCGTCGCGACTGTTTCCGTTCTTGCTCTCATCGCTTAGTCCATTGATAGGGTGGCAGTTCGTTCCCATCCTCCGCAGACGCAACTATTTCGAGTCAATAAGAGATTGATTAGGCGAACTCGCAAACATTGCCCTGGAGGCCGTCGTCGTGACGGCGCCTCATTCGAACGAGAAGACAATGTAGATGAAGGATATGACAGTGGAACAGGGCCGACCATCCTGCTGTCTCATTGTTCTTCGTGCACCTGTAGTTACTTACTCGATCATATTCATATTCGAGGATACGATGATGGGGTTATGGAGATAGCATGTCTGAGTCGGTCAGCGAAGGGATAAGGAACGAACGTAAGCCTTAATCTTTTGATTCGGTGGAATCGAATTAGTCTGAGCGTACGTTGCAGTCATAGAGATATCCGCCGAAGCCCGACCGAGCAGGGAGAATGCCACACGTTCTGCCTCTTCCATTCACAACTCTTCAGTCCTGTCGAGAGCAAAGAGACTGGTATATCTGATGGCAATAAACAGGATACAGCATAACTGTACAAAATATTACATTCCGGACTGTCGTAGAAGAGTGTCAGCTTCAGTGCCCCACCCGAAGTGCAACAGAAAACACTCACATTCCGCCTGCCCATCCCCTTGTCACATTTATTCTTTGGAGCTGGACCAAATACCTTGAATTAGCGGGCTTGCCAACCAGCAGTCAAAGAGGCTGGGGCAGAGTAGGGTATTGGCGCACACCTCTGCGGACGAAAGGCAGCTCGAACAAGCGGGTGGCTGTGCCTGTTTAGTTGTTGTTTCCCACTCTGCGTGTTGCCCACACCGCTGGAGAGGCCAGTCATTCCACCTGTGGACGATCGTCCCCTAGGAGACCGAGTGGTGAGTGATCCATTTCTCGTGATTCCAGGTTCCTTGTCTCATACTAACCTGTCACATCCAGATACCCAAACTTGATAGTTCGCCGGACGGTTGAAGCGACGCGAGTTAAGATACACCGGACGCGATGCCATGATCGTATGCTTTACCTTACATGACTCGGGCATAGCTGGTCATACGAGGAAAAGGGAATGAGCTACTGTCTTTCGCAGGGGAGTAGATGCATTTCCTGACACTCTAGCATTTGGACTAGCGTCGTCATCCTAGCCCAGTACTAGTGTTGTGTTGGGGCATTCCCCGCATCTGCAATAGGTACGGCTTCCCCACAGTTCTACACATACACCACGTATATATACGATTCTGATGACATGCTGATCACATTAATTCTGTTGCTCAGGTTGTGTACCACGCGCGCGATTTGAATACCACCCTGCATACCTAGCATGCTCTCAAGTTCCTTTTTCTTGCCACGACGTTATATTCGGAAGATTTGGATTCGCCTACGTTCCTCGCTTGCACAGGGTCCTCCGGGAAGACGATCATATTTAACTGGGATACATTACCTTGAACGCGGAAACAGCCACAAGAGAAGCAAGTTGTAATTCGGTCAGCTAACAGTCGAGGAATAACTGGGGCTAATGTGTCTTGCTGTCCACAACCACAGTTTCTAATTAACAGGCCCGATCTCTACATCGCTGTAGGATATCCCATGGGTGAGCGATGCCGATTAGACGCCCCGGTCTCTCTTCTTGGTTCGTGTGGAGATGGTCCCTTCGGCAACGGGTGAATGCGGCGAGTATGGGTCACTGGGGTCGCAACTGACTGTGCAAGAAGTACGGTTAGCGTCTGCATATATGTGACTCACGGAGTGCAGGAAGCTGACATCGTTGATCAGGAGTTGCGACTATCGCGCCTCCTTTGGGGGATGCGTTTTGTTTTATCACTTACCCAATCATAATCGTGTTTCTTTATGGGCGCCGGGCGCACCGATTGTGGGAGAGATGTGGATTTGGTGGTTGCAAGGATGCTGAACGATACGCGAATCAAGATTGATGATACCTGCATAGAGGGCCCCGGTCAAGGTGAACATCCGCGTAAAAAGCCTTTGGACGTTGAAGGAGGGAGCATATAGGGTCGAGGCTAGAATCGGCGGAGAGGATGGGGGGTTACAATTTGTGGAGTTGACGAACCAACGCGGCACAGACGTGGATACTTCGTTTTGAATCCTATCCTACCTTGTCCGACTCGGGGGCAGCTTACGACTGGCCTTCGGGGGTAAGAGTGACGACGGATAGCCCTACCAGTGGTTGCTTGTTGCATAGATCTCGTAAGTTGTCTTTATAGATGTAGCACGCCAGTCGTCTCGCAGGGAGAACCGTGCCAACGTTCATAGGATTTACCCATATAATGGTGGGCAGTTCGGACATGCATTGAAACTTGGATAATCACGTACCAAACGTCCTCCCTTCGGCCAGCGGAGCCAGCGCCGGCTGGCCCGGAAGATACCCCTGAAATCAAATGTCAGGCTCGCAACTGTGCATATAAAGTCAGCGCGCCAGTCGTCCACTTTGCCCGTCAAACTGCCGCTTCAACCATCATCATCCACGTACTACCCACGTTACCTTCCCGTCCCCCTACGCCACGATTGATGGACGACGTCGAGTATCAACGAATTTAATGCACTCCTGGCAAACGCACTAGCCCTCCCGGGCTGGATAAGCTCCGCAGACGGAGCGATGAGTGGAACAATGCTTGGCCTAGTCGAGACCTCGTCGCAAAGTCACACAAACGTACTCTGTTGATCATCCCCATCCCCAACTTGAGTTATTATCACGGTGTGGCATTTCAATACCTTTCGTGAGAGCTACTAGATCGTGCGGTGAAGGTGACCTTTAACTGGGGTGAGAAGCAAGCGGCAAAGGATAAAGAGAGATGATTGCTTAAGTTACGTGTCGAACTACACCGTGTCCGTGTTGGAAATGGAAATGGATATCACGTTACTTGTCTTGTGTCCTCAGAAAGACGCGGGATGAACGTTTGCTGGGTTGCTGACCATATCGTCGTAGCTTTCAACACTGGCACAAGCACGAAGACAAACAAGGATCCATAGACGGTTTGCGTTGATCAATACACCCGCGCAACGCGACGTTCGCCGCCCTTACCAAAGCGCCCTACGAAATGCGATTTAGCATGTATGATTGTGACGGTGCTGCTCACCCCTGTCAGGCTGCGATGTAGAATATACCAGCTGCATACACACCACGTCGGTAAATTCCGATATCGGTCGTCAGGGCTCACCACTGTACCTCACGACACGGACAAATCCGTCCTGTGTGATGTTGACAGGTGCAATGGTGAACTCGCTGTCTATGAATAGGCTGGTGGAGAGTGTACGTTGCCTTGGACTTGGCGAGACCGATCGCGTAGATGGCGTCTGGTGTCGTACGAATCCAAGAGTACATCACAAGAGACCTGTCACGGTGTCAACGTTTGTCTAGAGAGCTCCACGTACGCGCGACGTTGTTACACGGGCGCTCTATGCGACTGACCGGGTCGACGTTGGTGAGCACAAAAAGTCCCGTGGCCCGCGACCGAAACACGCCCTGATGTAGTCGCTGTATTGTACTTCGCGTGTCTGACCATCAGCAGGGTTGTGGAGGCGACGGTAGCGGAGAAGGTGGCCTGCAGATCTGTCCTACGTGCGCAAGTGGGCCCACCAGGTCCAGAGAGCAGTGCGATATCTGCAAAGGATGTTTATTGGACTATGAGAGGCCAAACCAAGATATCTACTTGAGACGTCGTACACGTCGAATGTCATGATAGGGTGGTCATCGTCATGGGTGCTTAGTTGCTTCTCCACGCTTGTGACAAGTTAGCACTTCCACTGAATATTAGATTGCCCAGTGCCCACCTAATGATCCGTCTGTAACATTAAGTGCAGCGAGGAATCGCTGTGAAGATGAGACCATCATGAAAGTTGGTTTTGAGGGAACGCCGACGGGTCTGAAATGCCAGTCAACCCTGTCGACATTGGTTCGTGCAGTGCCCACCTCACCGCCGCCAATGAGAGCAACGCAAAGAGCAGCCTTCAGCGCAGCATTGAGTCAAAGTGAGGATTTTTTCAGTGCTCCGGCTCCGAGAGCTGGTAATTCATTCCTATGCACTCCTACGAGGCTACGTATCGACAAGTCAGGGGCCGCACGTTGCGGTGGATGAGGTGTTTCCAGTGATGATACTGCTGTTGAATTACATCTTACCTCTCCTATATCACTAGAGTGGCGGACACGTTGACAAGGCTACTGATGGACGTGAGGCAGAGGTGAGGCCCAAATGTGTGTTATCATCGCATGAGGCCTTGGTTTTGTGGGCAGATTCAGATCCCGATAACAGGAAGAGAAGCGCTGAGGGCATCGGCGAGTGTGAGGATACCGTGGAGCCCAAAGATTTGGCGGGTCCGAGAGTGGGGCAGACGGCATTCGGTGGATGCGATGGACAATTTTCTGGGATTGGATGGTTGGCGACATTGCCACGTCTTCCTGCGACACGTTGCCGCCAACCCTTACCCTATGCGTGACCTCGTGCAGACGAAAACCGGATCTTGGAGCTCAGGGATCATTACTGAGACCTGCACTGTCAAACCTTGATCGATGTCCTGATCTTGAAGAACACGATGCTGAGGTCGTGTGAGCTGATCGATATCGATATAGCTTGAGGAACGTGTAGGCCATATATTTGGCGCCGCGAGCAAGTCTATGGTGCATTGTTCTTCTCCCCTCTAAACCACAGGACAAACTGTGTTAGCGAGCTTGTTAGCGATGACGATGGGTGCGTACCAGCAATCAGAGGGGTGAGGCGGTGCTACTGACAGTTCTCTGTGGCGGTCAAGATGCGGAACGGATCGAAATAACTACTCACGATCGAGTATTTGCAGTTGCCTTTGCGGGTGAAGGTCAAATCATAGCAGGATATGGATATGGCGCAGTTTGTCGATGGAAGATCGAAGACGGACGGCAACAAGGGCAAACCATCATGAAAGCGAGTGGCACTGTCTGGTCTGTTGCCGTTTCCCCGGATGGCCGGTGGATCGCGACTGGAAACAGCAGGGCGAGGGCGATCCTTTGGAATGCGGCCACTCATGAAAAAGTGCGCCAGTTCACAGAACACCGCTACCCTGTATATGACGTCGATATCTCGAGCGATGGTACTAAACTTGCCACTGCGGACTACAACCAAGTCGAGATACTCAGCATCCCTTCCGGCGACCGACTCCTCCCTTACCTCTCACATTCTAACATTCTTAATGTCAAGTTCTCTCCGGACGGCACTCGATTTGCGACCATCTCGACGACATATGGTTTCCGTATCTACAGCACCGACGATGGCAATATCATCTTCGATTCAGGACAATACGGTTGCGCCAGCGGTTATCCGCGCTCTTCGTTGGCTTGGTCGTTTGACGGCCAACAACTGTTCGTCGCGAACATAGGCAAGATTATCTGTTTCGACCTTTCTAGCTCTCAATCTTCAGAATGGTCAATCCATGAAGACCAATCCCAGCCATCATTGGCATCCAATGGCAGATTTTTTGCATGTGCCGCAGGTTCATCGGTTTCGCTATGGGATTGTTTGTCCCACACGCAGATCGGTAGTGTTATCACACATACCATACCGGTCCAGTGCGTTGCTCTCTCACCAAGTGGGCGGTATCTCGCATGTGCAAATGGCAACAATATCACAATGCACGATCTCAGAGATGTCCTTTCACTTAGGCGTCTCGGCCATGGTGTAAGTTTACATCCACTCATAAAGCTTGCTTCGCTAACAATTATCATGCTATTCTCCTGCCCAGCATAACACTTTAATTCGTCGCCAGCTCTGCGCTTTTCAGCTTCCACTCATAGTAGTGAGTGACGAGGCCTTCGGGCTGTGGATGCAAGATGACCCAACAAAAACTGAAGTGCTGCTGTCAGCAGAAATTGCGAGCGATCCAAGCCCTAGCCACTACAGGCTAGCAAACCGCGCACTTGTACGAACACGACTGAAAAATCTGGCAGCTGCGATAGAGGATGCCGAAGAGGTGAGTCCGCTTCCTCACTGCTCCATCTGTATGATTGCTCACGTGCACATCAAGTCCCTCCGGGTTCAGCGATCACCTATAGGCCATATCGTGATGGCGATTGCTCTACTTGGCCAGGGCGATCGAGAGGGTGCACTACGCACATTCGACTTTGCATTTCATAATTGTGAGCTGCACGACATCAGATTTCTTTCACTGTTGAAGGTGCGCCAAGTGATCTAGATCGCTTTCACAATTAATCTACGTTCCGTTCAGTCGATCCTTGTGTTCGAATCCGGAAATCAAGAAGACGGGATCACGCGCGCAGAGGACCTTGTTACAGCAGCGGACAATGATGACGACGACGACGCCACATACCTCTACACTTGGGTACGTGCGTTGCGTGACGCAGGCATATAAGTATCGCTGCTTATTCACCGTACAGGTGCTTGGAGTCATGTACCTAAAGAAGGGAAGTTATGGACATGCGATACCATTAATCGAGCGTGCGAAAAGTCTAGCCCCCAAGGGCAGACACTGTCCTCCTTTAGTGACGATTTCGCTCGTAGGTCTTCTGCTGCTACTAGCACTGCCTATTAATGCACCCTTTCATGAAGGTATTTGGTTGGAGTTTCAATGGACTGGATGGAGTTGCTCAGCAACGTCTATGTGAGGCCCTCTATGCTGAAGGACGTGCAGCCGAAGCCACGGAGATCCTCCTCAATATCATTCAGACATCAGACAAGGAGGGAAATGCAATTGCAGGTTGGATTGCAGGTATGTCTTATAAATGCTAATTGATGTGCACGTTCATGTCTGTCGTCAGACTTCACCAAAAAATGTGCTGTGATGCTTGAGCATGCTGGCGACGATGTGTTCGGATCTTCAAAATATGATGAAGCAATAGCGCAGTACTCTGCTGCGTTGTCCCTCCGCCCTCAAAGTCCTGCGTGTCTGCTTATCAAACGAAGCAGAGCTCGAGCTGCGAAAGAGTTGTGGGAGGATGCACTACAGGATGCGAACGAGGTATGTGCAGTATCTTTCTTGTGTGAGTGGGTTCTCCTACAATTGCTGTATAGGCGGTGAAAGTGGATCCCTCTAGCCCTTGGGGCTATGAGGCCAAGCACCTGGCGCTTCATGGTGCAAAGCAATATGACGAGGCAATTGAGGCTTTCGAGTCTATGCTACACAACATCGAACAGTCGCATGACCCTGAAATCATCCGTAGGTATCTCCTGTATGATGCCAACATCCACATATAACAGTTTCACAGAACTGCGTAAGAACTACATTTCACCATCCGACGCGATTGCGGCTACCGATTCCATCGTCCGCGAGATCTGTTGTCCCTTCGTCGTCATTGATGTCACTACTGGTCGCCTTTGTGACGAGACCGAGCGGATGGGTATATTCAAGGCTGATCAGAGCTTCAAGGCACTTGTGTCATCCATGACGAAAAAAGTGGACGAGACGCGGATCCGACCTGTGGTTAAAAGCTTTTTCGGATACGTCATGTTCTCGCATGCGTGGGAGGGGAAGGAGCCGTCGTTCCAGGACGTCAAGCTAGTCAAATCCGTGTGGGACCTTCCGTTCCAGGATGTCAATGAAGTCAAACCCGTGTGGGGCCTTCCCAAAACGCGCTTGAACAAGAAGTTGCGCGATTTCTGTCAGGAATCGAGCAGGCTCGGTTACAATTGGGCCTGGTCGGATACGTGTTGTATCGACAAGTCCCAGAGCGCCACTGTTACCCTATCCGAATCCCTTACTTTGATGTACAAATGGTATGCGAATTCGGCGGCCACGCTTGTATACCTTGCCGGTGTAGCCCATCCGTCCAAACCTGGGGACCTTGCACGTAGCTTTTGGATGACGCGAGCTTGGACTTTACAAGAGCTTCTCTCACCAGAAGTTATCCTGTTCTATGACTCCGAGTGGAAACCATACCTCGGCGATATTGGTATGAACCACAAGCAATCTCCGGTAATCATGCAAGAACTAGCAGAGGCTATCAAGATTCCTTCCGGAACCATCGTCACGTTCTCTCCAGATGATCTTGGGGTTCGCGAAAAGCTTCGTCTCGCTTCTACACGCAATGCGACGAGGGAGGAAGACGTCGCATACTCCCTCATCGGCATATTCAAGTCCGATATCAGACCCCACTATGGCGAACGATCCGACGCTCTCGGGCATCTCTTGGAGGAGATCGTGGCTCGCACCGGCGAGGTCACCGTGCTTGCGTGGTCAGGAAAGCCATCGTCATACAATAGTTGTCTCCCGGCCTCCCTTTCTGTTTACAACGAAACTCCTTACAACCCTCCGTTACTCGAAGGGGAAGAAATGGAAAGTTGCATCATGAAGCTACGTAACAAGTTGCCCAGGAAAGAAGCGCGGATTATATATAATAAAATCCACGGTCTCTCCCCCGCCCGTTTTGCAACCCGACGTCTGCACCTTCCGTGCATCATCTTCCCTGTGAGAAGTCTCGACAAGCCGTGCGGAAGCAATGACAAGTTATATCGTGCGCAGGTATCGGGGCTTGGCGAGGTGGAATTCACGACCGCAGACCAGCTCTCGCTGAACGGGACACAGAAGTTCGTCTTCGCGCATCCGTGGATCGATTATATCCGAGGTCTGAACAGTGGGATTACCTGGGGAGATGACTCGGAGTCTGATCCTGATTCTGACTCGGATGAAGTTGCACCATCACCCACTGTCCCCGCACGACAGGTTGACAACTATACGCGGGCACTGGAGATGGTTGCTCGCCTCGGACAGCCGTTCAACGCGTTTCTTTTTGTGCAACAGTTGAATGGAACGTACAAGAGGGTCGCTGCCGAGAGGGAGATTGTCGTCTCGGGACCCGGAACCAACATTACCTCCAAGAACATCCGAGTGAAAGTGCTAGAAATCCTTTGACGTCTATGTGCTAGTTGTTACGTCTGGTCTATCTTGCTTTCTTTTCTGGCCATTTTTGCGTTCGTATTGTTTGTGCTGTTTTCGTAGCCTCTGTTCATTGTCCTTATCATACCCCTGCTCGCATTGTCATATTTGTACCTGTTCGAAAATTCTGAACGATACATGAATTGAACTTGATAATACCCCCGTAACCCGAGGGACCCGACCGAAAGTGGGTGTCCGCGTATAAAGTTTTGGGATACGGAGCACGTGAAAGTTGAGGCCAGAATCGGTGGAGGGGAGGGTGACTGGGCTCATGGAGTTGATGAACCGACCATGTATCGACACCGCTCTTTCGTTTTATACGTTTTGAATCCTACCCTACCTTGTCCGAGCCGGGAGTAGCTTACGGCTATAGCTTTCGAGGGTAAGGGTGACAACGGAGAGCCCTGCCAATATTAGTCGTCCGGAAGAACCTTCAGAATCGGATGTTAGCCTCCCAGTGGTCCTTGTAAATGCAGCACCTCAGTCGTCTCTGAGAGAGAACCCTACCAACGTTGTGTAGACTCTACACATATTATAATCAGCAGTCCGAATATGTATTGAAACCCGGATGATCACGTACCGAGTTCCATCCTTTCAGCGAGCCGGCAGCCAAAAGGTGGCTGACCCGGAAAGTTCCCCCCAGAAATCAGATGTCAGGCTCCCGACTGTCCATATAACTTCAGCACACCAGTCATCTACTCTGCTCACCCTTCTTCTTCAACCATCATTATCAACGTACTTCGTATGTACCCTTCCTCGTACGTCGCGATTGATGGATGACGCCGAGCTCCGATTCTTCCCATCGTGTCAACGGACACCAACGAACTTCATGTACTCCTGGCAAACGCGCTGGACCTTCCGGGCAAGAGAAGGCCTACAGACGGAGAGATTAGTGGAGCAACCCTTGGCCTAGCTGATACCATCCTGCACAGGAATCCCCGGCGGTCGAATACTCTGCATGGATTGGCTCGCCCTGTCGTTCTTCTCTGCAGTCTACTGTCGCAGTACGGAATTTCAATGCGTCTCAGGATACCGAAGACGTGACTGCAGGGGTATCAGCAGTTTGATCGATGCTGTTCCACGGTCGAAAAGGAGTACATGCGTTGGTCCTAAATCGCATGAGTTTATCGTTACATATCTCTCCCTAGACGACATCTCACCTCGGTGATACACCACATAACACCTGGCTTCAGGCACACCACCGGACTATTAGCCCGCTTGGTCAACATGCAGCAGCTTCGCACTGCATTCACCCCCGGCAAGATGACGAAGTGAGCGTGATCCGATGACACGCCCGATACGCAATTAAGTGGCTTCTCGGATGACCATTTGCGATCATCAACGGCTTGCTTTCGTACGTCGTCATGGCTTTTTCCATTCCTGCTCTCGTCATTTAGTCCACTGATAGGACGCCAGTTCGTTACCTTCCTGTGCGGACGCAACTTTTCTAGGTCACTGAGATAGATGAGACGAACCTGTCGCGCTTGTGGGGTCCCAGAGGTGCGTTTTGTGGACCCTGCGTAGCTGGTGACACTATGGAGGGAGTTAATATCTACGACTACGGCACAGGTCATTACTCACAAGCATTGGCCCGGAAGTGGCCGTCGAGAGAGCATTTCATTCGAATGCGAAGACAGTGGAGTTAAAGGATATGGTGGTAGCACAAGGTCCACCATCTGCGGTTTCATTGTTCTTCGTGCGCCCGTCGTTACCCAATCATATTCATATTTGTGGGTACGACAGATGGCACGTTGAGTCTGCCAGCGAAGAGATAAGGATGGAAGAGGAAGAGAAACGAATGTAAGCCCGTGAGATATGACGTGAATCTTGTTGATTTGTTAGAATCGGATTCTACATACCTACTGCGGGCGTATGTTACAGTAGACCGAGCAGGGAGAACGTCACACGTTCCGCGTCTTACGCTCACAACTCTTCAGTCTTGTCGAGAGCAAGGAGACTGGTAAATCTGATAGCAATGAACAGGATACACCATAACTGTACACAATATTACATTCCGGGCTGTCGTAGCAGAGCGTTAGCATTTCGGTGCCCTAGCGGAAGTGCAACAGAAAACACTCACATTCCGTCTCCCCATCCCCTTGGCCCTCTTATGTATTCTCGGGTGCTGGACCGAATACCTTGAATTCATGCGCCTCACCTTCTCTCAGTGTTAACACCGATGTCATGTTCCCACATCGATAGCAATAATTAGGTGTGGACCATATGGTGACTAGGGCGTTGGTGTAGCCTTCTTGAACGAGTTGGTGGGTGCGGGCGATAAAGACTGAGTGAGTTGACGTGGCTGAACTGTGAAGATGGTAGGCTGAGCATATGCGATGTACCTGAACGGCAGGAACGACGCACTTCTCGAGTTACATATTCCCCGAATAGCCAGCCTGCACCGCGAGGAATTACAGCCCAATTATCATTATCGATATTTTCAGGATCTCTTCACATGAGGTGTATGCATAACGTTTCTCCATCGATGATCTAAGATGGGTCACAAGTGATGTTCGTCAGGGATGTGTGGTGACGTACTGCAGCGAGGTTCAGATAGTCGAACACATTACAGCGGGCTTTCCACACTCCGGCACTTTCCATATTTTTGTTGGCATTCGTCTGGGGAGAGAATTTAGCATCAGGGTGAAGAGTGAATGCAGGGAAAAACCATAGCACCCGTAGACTCGTGTGATCTGTCGACTTTCCTGATTGCCTCGCCTTGTCAGGATATCTGAGAACATTTCAACGGTCGCCCTTCCCTCCACTTCAGTTTCAGTTTTTCTCTTTCTTTCTCTGCACACGGAACTTGCATGGTCTGGAATGGACGGTCACGTGGTTGGTCTATGCGCTTGTACTTGTAGAGGTGTTTGTCTTTGTTGACCCTCAGTCATTGTGTTCACAACACTCGGTGAGCGTGTCTATTCAGTTTTCCCGCAGGTTATGTGTCCCGCCTCTGCGAGTCCGATGTGAGGATAAAATAGGGCGAAGGACACGTTTCTTTTGACGTACAAACAGCTATAATGGATGTAAGTTGCAATTCGGCCTGCTGACAGTCGAGGGATAACTAGAGCTAATGTGTCTTGCCGTCCAGAACCAATGTCTAATCAATAGGCCCGATCCCGATGTCGCTCTAGGATATCCCATGGTGTGATCGACGTCGATTAGACGCGATACTGTTCAGGGAGTCCGCGTTCTGCATTTGCAATCTTGGTCCGAGGGTAACCATGAGAAACTCATCTGACACTTTGTCGATCCGTGGTGTCCCCGCTAGCGTGAGAGACATGACTGAACTTCGACCCAGTGCCGAAGCTAACATGCTTCAAATCTTAGCCATCAGAATAGTCAAAGCACGTAAGTTTGGGTGCAACAACGGCTTCCGTGACTGGCTGGGCGTCCGGAAATCTTCTGAGTATCTGGAAGTTAGTCCTAGGCACGCCCGACGTTGCGGTCCGCATAGCTGGCGGTTTGTTGACCAGCTAATTAAACAATGCCAGCCAGGTTCCTCCAAATACATCACCCCACGCGGTAAACTGACCTAAATCGCCTACCGTTCCTTGTCTTTTACCATTCTGCTCACCTGCCTGACGATGGATGTCAGCGACTGGGGTATCCTTTCGTGATGCGACACCTTCGTGCACATCTCGGTAAATAACTGGTACGAATGTGTCCGTCTGCCACTGCCACTCCTTCCTCCAAGGTATGCATGACCGTTGTTCTGTACGACACACATTTGACTGATCTGGGTTCGTAGATTTTCGCGACGAGCTGGAAGAAAGAGGAGTTGGTTGAATACGACTGGTACAACTTCACCGGATCAAGTTTCCACTCTTCGAAGATTCTTCTTGACACCGATCCAGTTCGTGCAGTCATCCACGAGTTTGGATCTTCTTCCATTGAGCGCCATCCTCGGGACTGTCTAGCTACTCACTCGCCATTCCTCTACCATGGGCATAAGTGTCTCCCATGTTGACTCACTCCCTCTCATTCACTCGCACACGGTACTCGCTGCGAATCCTGTGTTAGACAATTTTCTATCGTTTTCCCTGCCGAATTACATTGCAGGAACTTTCGTATGGATCGGGGGTGGTTTATTCTGGCTGGATATCATCGTTCAGAGTGTCCGGCATGCTGAGTGTAAGCACTCTCTCGAATCTGAAAACACCATCCTGAATCCTACATACCTCAAAACCTTCCACCATGTAAGCCTCTACTCATGCTTCGTTCGTGTTTAACTTAACCCCCTCGCATCACCAATAGCTTGAATAATACGTGTAAAGTACTATCGGAGCATCGATGCCTAGTGCTTGCTTTCTCGTTGGTGTACTTTTCTTCACCAGGTTCGCTGACACACTCGGCTGCAGGAAGACCATTATCGCTACAAGTCAGTCCTATCTGGATCGTTGGTGCCACACCGCAAGGCGCTTCTGTAATGGGTTGTTGATTCGCCACGCGGTTGATTGTCTTCTTAGTACCTATCGGGCGTTCAGTCGAAGTTCAGCCATGTTCAAAGATATACTCTCAATCTCGGGTCTGACGTGGAAAGTGGGCGTGCACTCGACCAGAAATTTTTCGGGGTGCGGCATGTCACCCTGGGTGCGAGTATCGCACACACTTTTCACGTCCGAGGTTCAGTTCGGCGACTCTGAATCTGTCCCAGCAGACCATTGGACAAGCCTTAAGGGTGGAACTGCATGTGGTTTTTACTCTCGTCACACTAGAGATTCCAATCTTCTTGTGTGGTGGCTCAACCAACACTTGGAGTCGGGCCAACCAAGGTTATCCGTGCAACTCTCAGGTCTCTGCTCAACGAGAACTGTGGCATGCTCGTTGTCCGAATCATCGCTAGAATATCCGTCAAGCCGATATCTTTGGCCGTAAAATGACCATCATCGCCACTAGTATCTTCTGGATCATCTGTGGTACATCCCAACGTGCTTCTGTGGTAGGTGGCTTGTTCCTCACGAGCTCAATCGTCTTTTTAGTATCTATGATTTAACTTGGTCGCAATCGCCGCATACTCGTGGTTGGTCGTATTATCACTCGAATCTTTGCCGGTATCTCCTGTGCCATCAAGTTGCACCTGTCTACTAATCGGAAATCACCACTCCAGCCATCCGTGGTCGTCCTGTCCCCCACCAATAAATGATCTATCACATGAGGTGGTATCGTGCTGCGTACTCTTTCCAACTCGAGCACCCTCATATCGACGGCATTGTCCCTTTCCGTACAGCGTACTCTATGGGTCTCCAAATGATAATGTACCCACCATCATCCTTGAAATGAGATCCAAGGAGTGTGTCTGACTGGTCGATATGGCCAGTGTGTCGGTAGCAATCCTTTCCATCATATTTATCGTAGAGACGTTGACCGTAACGACGTCAAAGCTAGCTTACTTATGTAAAACATGCATACCTATGTCCGCTCTTATACCGAGGCAGAATCCATCCTTCTGTTGTGAATGGCGTATATTCATAACATGACATAACACTCGGTCCTCGAATATAAGTTCGTGCACGAAAACCTATACATTTTACACTGCGAGGGCTTCCGAGCAATGCAATTTGATACCGACAGCCACTAGCATCGTGACGGCCCCAAGTCACTTGTGCCGGTACATAAATTAGGAGCGTCTCTACGAACAAATGCCTACACCCTATCCTACCCCGAATACCATCTCCGCGATGTAGAATACACCAGCTGTATACGCACACACGTCGGTAAATTCCCATATCGATCGTAAGGACACCATTGTACCTCATCACACGGGCAGACTCGTCCTGTGTGACGCGATAAACTGTCTCGTCTGCGAGTCCGATATCTGGCATAAGGAGAATAAAACGGGGCAGGTCCTTTGCGAGGTTTACAGGGATGTTGACAGATGCAATGGTGGAACCGTTGTCTATGGACACACTGGTGACATGGAGAGTGTATGCTGCGTTGGACTTGGTGAGACCGATCATGGTGTCAACGTATCGTTGTAAAGGATACTGGGCAAACCCATTGTCTAGAGAGTCCCGTGCACACGCGGCGTCGTTAGACGGGCGGTCTATACAACTGACCGTGTCGTCATTTGTGAGCGCAAAGAGCCCCGAACCCCCCTCGACCAAAATCCGCCCCGTTGTGATCACTGCGCGTTTGAGCGCCAACGGGGTTGTGGAGGCGACGTTAGAGGAGAAGGTGGACTGTGGAGGTGCCGCACGTGCGCAGGGCGGACCCACCAAGTCCAGAGAGCAGCGCGACATCTGCAAAGGATGTTTATTAGACTACAAAACGCCAGACCAAGACACGCACTTGAGTGGTAGTACACGTCGAATGTCATGGTGGGGTCGTCATCGTGGTGGATGCTCCTCCATGCTTGCGACGAGTTAGCACTTCCACTGAATATTAGATCGCCTAGTGCCCACCTAATGTCCCGTCCGTAACACTAAGTGCAGCGAAGACCTTGCTGTGAAGATGAGACCGTAATGAAAGTTGGCTTTGAGGGAACGCCGACGAGTGTGAAATGCCAGTCAACCACGTTGACATCGGTTATCGCAGTGCCCACCTCACCGCCGCCAATAAGAGCGACGCAAAGAGCAGCCTTCAGTGCAGCATTGAGTCAAGGTAAAGATTTTTTCAGTGCTCCGGCTCCGAGAGCTGGTAATTCATTACTATGCACTCCTACGAGGCTACGTATCGACAAGTCAGGCGCCCCACGTTGCGATGAATGAGATGTTTTCCGGTGACGATATTGCTGTTGTAATACATCTTACCTCTCCTATCTCGCTGGAGTGGCGCACACGTTGACGAGGCTATTGATGGACATGAGGCAGAAGTGAGGCCCGGGCGTGTGTTATCATCGTGTGAGGCTTTGGTTTTGTGGGCAGATTCAGATCCCGGTGAGAGGAAGAGAAGCGCTGAGGGTATCGGCGAGTGTGAGGATAGGGTGGGGCCCGAAGATTTGGCGGGACCGAGGGTGACGCAGAGGGCATTTGGATGGTTGGCGATATTGCCACGTCTGCCTGCGACACGTTTCCGCCAACCCTTGTCCTATGCGTGATCTCGTGCAGACGAAAACCAGATCTTGTGGGGCTCAGGGATCATTACTGAGACCTGCATTGCCAAACCTTGATCGACATCCTGACCTTGAAGAACAGGATGCTGTGGCCGCGTGAACTGATCGATATCGATATAGCTTGAGGGACGTGTAGGCCATATATTGGGCGTCGTGAGCAAGTCTACGATGCATCGTTCCTCTCCCCTCTAAACTACAAGACAGACTGTGTTAGCGAGCTTGTTAGCGATGACGATGGGTGCGTACCAGCAGTCGGACAGACTGAGGCGGGCCCACTAACAGTTCGCTGTTGCGGTTAAGATGTGAAACGGATCGAAATCGGATCTGAGAGTGTGACGGTCGCAGGACTTGGTCACACTAGTAAGAGTGTTTCCGTCGAAAGGTCTCAAGCGTCGTTCGTCAGAACTGGCCAAGGGTCTCTCGATAAAAAACTGCTCCCTCCTACCTACTACATGAGTCTTTATATACCTACGTACATAAAGGACTGTACTAAAGAGGAAGTATCAAGGCTGACATATTGTACTTGGTTCCGTTGTCGTATCCGCGGGAGCGCGGGTCGTTACAGAGAGCGAAGTATGGGGAGTCGTCTTTGCGGGCGAAAGTCGGGTAGTAGGAGGATATACGAACGGCGAAATTCGTCGATGGAAGAATAAAGACGGACAGCAACAGGATCCAACCATGGAAGCGGGTGGCCATGTCTATTCTGTTGCCGTATCCCAGGATGGCCGGTGGATCGTGTCCGGAGACGGCGGAAAGAAGGCGACTCTCTGGAATGCAGCTACTCATGAAAAAGTGCGCGAGTTCACAGAACACAGTGACAGTGTATTTGGGGTCGATGTCTCGAGCGACGGTACTAAACTTGCCACTGCGGACAAGAGCAATGTCCAGATATTCAGCATCCCTTCCGGTGACCGAATCCATCGCCTCGAACACTTTTCCGTTTCTGGTGTCAAGTTCTCCCCGGACGGCCGCCACTCGATTTGCTACCGTCTCGAAGACACAAGGTTTCCGTGTCTACAGCACCGACAATGGCAACGTTTTGTTCAATTCAGGTGCAAGCGGTTGCGTCGGCGATGATTTCGTCACTCCGTTGGCCTGGTCCCCCAATGGACAGCAACTGTTCGTCGCGAACAAAGGCAAAATCATCTGTTACAACCTTTCCAAGTCCTTATCTTTGGAATGGTCGATCCATGAAAACCAAACCCAACCATCTATAGCATGTAATGGCAGATTCATTGCATGTGCTGCAGGTTCATTGGTTTCGCTATGGCATCGTGTGTCCCACAAGCAGATTGGTGGCATTATCTCACGCATCGCGAAGGTCGAATGCGTCGCTCTCTCACCAAGCGGGCGGTATCTCGCATGTGGAAATGGCAAGAATATTACATTTCATGATCTCAGAGATGTCCTTTCACTCGACTATTTCAACCATGGCGTAAGTATACATCCACTCATGAAGCATGCTTCGCTAACAATCTTCATATTATTCTTGTGCCTGCGTTAACCTGTCATCAACTGCGCTTCTCAGCTTCCGCTCGTAGAAATGGACCCCACGGCCTTCCAGTCATGGATGCGGGATGACCCGACGCAAACCGAGAAGCTACTCTCAGGGGAGATTGTGACTGCTTCAAGCCCTAGCCACTACATTCTGGCGAACCGCGCACTTATACAAACACGATTGAAACATTTGGCACCTGCGATAGAGGACGCCAAAGAGGTGAGCCCGCTTCCTCACCACTGCATGTGTATGGTTGCTCACACGTACCTCAAGTCCCTCCGGGTTCAGCGATCACCTGTAGGCCATATCGTGATGGCCCTTGCCCTCCTTGGGCAGGGCGATTGGGAGGGTGCGCGATGTACGTTCGACCTTGCATTTCATGATTGTGAGCTGCATGACCACAGAATTCTCTTACTATTGAAGGTGCGCGGGGTGATCTGTGTCATTTTCACCATTAATCTACGTTCCGCTCAGGCGATCCTTGTGTTTGAATGTGGATATCAAGATGAAGGGATAATGCGTGCGGAGCATCTTGCTACCATAGCGGGCGAGGACAACGATGACAATGGCACCTACCTTTATACTCAGGTGTGTGCCTCGTGTGATGCAGACGTATATGCATCACTGCTGATACATTTCGCAGGTCATTGCCGTTATGTACATAAAGAAAGGGGTTTATAGACGTGCGATATCACTGATTGAGCACGCGAAGCGCCTGCCCCCCAAGGTCGAATGGTGGCCTTCGCTAGTGACGATCTTGCTCGTAGGTCTTCTGCTGTTACTAGCACCACCTATTAATTCAACCCTCCATGAAGATATCCGGGTGGAGTTTTAACGGATTGGATATCGCTGCTCAGCAACATCTATGTGAAACCCTTTATGCTGAAGAACGTGCAGCCGAAGCTACGGAGATCCTCCTCAATATCATCCGGACAGCAGACAAGGAGAGAGACGTAATTCCGGGTTGGATCTCAGGTGTGTCTTGTAACTTCTAGTTGACGTGCACATTCATATCTGTCACCAGACTTCACCCGAAAATGTGCTGCCACGCTTGAGCATGCTGGCGACAGTGCTTTCGGATCTTCAAAACACGACGAAGCAATAGCACAGTACTCTGCTGCGTTGTCCCTCAGTCCTCAAAGTCCCACAAGTCTGCTCATCAAACGGAGCAGAGCTCAAGCTGCGAAAGAGTTGTGGGAGGATGCACTGCAGGACGCGAATGAGGTATGCATGGTATCTTCCTTGTATGAGTGGGTTCTCCTACAATTGCCGCATAGGCGGTGAATGCGGATCCCTCCGGCCCTTGGGGCTACGAGGCCAAGCACGTGGCGCTTCATGGCACGAAGCAGTATGACGGGGCGATTGAAGCTTTCAAGTCCATGCTACACAGGAATGGGACAGTCCCATGACCCCGCAATCATCCGTATGTACCTCCTATAGGAGGTGACACCCACAGATAACCATTTCACAGAACTCCGTAAGACCTACATTTCACCATCCGACACGATTGTGGCAATCGGTTCTGTCGTCAGCGAGATCTGTCGTCCTCTTGTCGTCATTGATGTCACTACTGGTTACCTTTGCGGCGAGACTGAGCGGATGAGTATTTTCAAGGCTGATCCGAGCTTCAAAGAACTTGTTTCATCCATGACGAAAAATGTGGATAAGACGCTGATCCGACCTGTGGTCGAAAGGTTTTTCGGATACGTCATGTTCTCGCACGCATGGCAGGGGACGGAGCCGTCGTTCCAGGATGTCAAGCTAGTCAAATCCGTGTGGAACCTCCCGGACACACCCCTGAATAACAAGTTGCGTAATTTCTGCCAGGAAACGCGCAGGCTTGGTTACCGTTGGGCGTGGTCCGATACGTGTTGTATCGACAAGCTTAACAGTTCTATCCTCAACGAATCCCTTACTTCAATGTACAGATGGTATGCGAATTCGGCAGCCACACTTGTGTTCCTTGCTGGCATAGCGCATCCGTCCAAACCTGGGAACCTTACATGTAGTAAATGGATGACCCGAGCTTGGACATTGCAAGAGCTTCTCTCACCAAACGTCATCTGTTTCTATGACTCCGAGTGGAAACCATACCTCGGTGATATTGGCATGAACCACAAGCAATCCCCGGTGATCATGCAAGAACTAGCAAATGCTATCAAGATTCTGCCCGGAACCATTCTTCTTCTTCTCTCCAGACGATCTTGGGGTTCGCGAAAAACTTCGTCTCGCTTCTACACGCAATGCGACTAAAGGAGGAAGACATCGCATACTCTCTGATCGGGATATTCAAGTCTGATATCAGGCCCCATTATGGCGAACAATCCGACGCTCTTGGACACCTCCTGGAGGAGATCGTGGCTCGCACCGGCGAAGGCACCGTACTTGCTTGGTCAGGGTCGTCATCGTCGTACAACAGCTGTCTCCCGGCTTCCGTTTCCGTCTACAGCCAAATTCCTTACACCCCTCCGTCACTCGAAGGAGAAGAAAAGGAAACACGCATCACAAAATTACGTGGGAAGTTACCCCAGGAAGTTGTCCTAAGTATTTACAATCAAATCAACTTTCTTCCGCCTGCGCGTTTTGGTACCCGACGTCTACATCCTCCATGCGTCATCTTCCCTGTCAGAAAACTGGAGCTACGCAGTGGCAGTGAGAAGCTGCATCGTGCCAGGGTATCAGGGCTTGGAAAAGTGGAGTTCTCGACTGCCGACGATCTCCCGCTGCATGAGGCACAAACATTTATCCTCGTACATCCGTGGATTGATCATATCCGAGGTCCCGACAGTGTGATTGCCTGGGGAGATGACGCGGAGTCTGATGCTGACACCAACTGCGATTCGGATCACGACATTGAGTCGGATGGAGATGGGCCGTCTTCGCCGTTACACGCTATCCCCCCTGAAGTTCACGGCTATACCCGAGCACTGCAAGTGATTGCTCGCCTCGGACAGCCGTTCAGCGCGTTGCTGCTCCTACAGCAGCCAAAGGGAGAGTACAGGAGGGTTGCCACAGAGGAAGAGATTGTCATTTCAGGACTTGGAACCAACATCACACCCACGAACATTCGGGTGGGGGTGTTAGAAATCCTTTGACGTGTATATGGGGAATTGCTGGTCGTTAAAGTTGGTCTGTCTTTCTTCCTTTAGCGGTCATTTTTGTATTCGTATCTTCGTGCTGTTTTCGTGGTGTTTTCTCGTCGTCCTCATCATACCCCTCCCCATGTCCTCATATCTGTTATTTATATGTAGATACGCATGATCAGCCAATGTACTGACACGATATATTCATCTGATACGTATTCCACAACAATCCCGACAATTCGTTGTCCAGAACTCTTTGGAATATGTGGTTTGTTCTGCTACTTAACCGGTCATATTCGTGTTCTTTTATGACTGTCAGGCGCCACCGAACGTGGGGGAAATGGGGAGTCGGCTGTTGCATGGCACGTTCGCAAATTCCGAACGTTACATGAGTTAAGGTTGATAACACCTCCGTAACCCGAGGGACCCGGTGAAGGTGAATGTTTGCGTGTAAAGCTTTGGGGTATGGAGAACATGAAAGCTGAGGCCAGAACTTATCGGTGGAGGGGGCGGTGGTTGGACTCGATGGAGTTGATGAGCCTACATCGCTGTTTGGTTTTATTTCGATTTTGAATTCTATCCTACCTTGTCTGACTCGGGAGCAGCTTACGACTAGCCTTCAAGGGCAAGAGTGACAACGGACAGCCCTGTCAATGTTGGTCGTCCAGAAGAACCTTAGGAATCGGATCTCGGCCTCCCAGTAGTGCTTATGAATACAACACGCCGGTCGTCTTAGAGGGAGAAAGCTATCAACGTTGTATAGACTCTGCATACATTATAACCAGCAGTCCGAATATGTATTGAAACTCGAATGATCACTCACCAAGCTTCGTCCCTTTGGCAGCTGGCAGCCAAAAGGTGGCTGACCCGGAAAGTGCCCCCAAAATCAGATGTCAGGATCCCCACTGCCCTTTTAAAATCGGCATGCCAGTCGTTCACTCTGCCCGCTAACCATCCTCAACCATCATCAGCAGTACTACGTACCTACTCCCCCGTCCTCCCTCTGCATCACGACTGATAGACAATGCCAAGCGCCGGCTCGTCTCGTCGTGTCAATGGGTGCCAGCGAACCTCATGCACTCCTGGCAAACGCGCTGGCCTTTCCAAAGAAATTATCGATGGAGGGGCAAGAGGAACAATCATTGACTTAGTCGATACCATCCTGCACAGGTACCCCCATGAGTCGGACGGTCGCGTGGATATGTTTACCCGGTTGTACGCACTTGCTATCCACTGTTGTGGTACAGAATTTCGATACGTCTCAGGATATTGAAGTCAACTGTAGGGTTGTCAGAAGTTCCATCGATGCCGTTCCGTTGGCGAACGTTGGGCCTATATGAGTCGCGTGAGTTGATCGTGATCTCTCCCTGGACGACATCTCACCTGTATGATACGCTATATACCAACACTCTACTTCAATTCTCTAGTGTTTCATTGTTGGTGCGGACCGTGCCCTTTGGGCTTATCGTCGCCAGCAAGACACCAACAGGCTAGCCCAGTCGCAGGCCGTCATTGGATTTCGCAGTGTCTGCCCCCTGCAAGGCAACGCGACCGTGATCGATGACTCGCTCATACGCAATTAAGTGAATCCTCTAGACGACGGCCTCCACGATACGGTCGACCACCACTTACTCCTCATGCGTCGGCGTGGGTGTTTCCATTCTTGCTCTCATCGTTTAGTCCATTGATAGGATGGCAGTCCGTTTCCATCCTCCGCAAGCGCAACTTTTTCGGGTCAATAAGAGATTGATTAGACGAATTTTTCGAGCTTGTGGGATTAGAGGTGCGTTTTGTAGTGCCCGTGTAGCTGGTGGCACTGGGTGGGGAACTGATAGTTCTTACGGCGCAGGCCATTACTCGCAAACATTGCCCTGGAGGCCATTGTCATGACGGCACCTCACTCGAATAAGAAGACAGTGGAGATGAAGGATATGACAGTGGCACAAGGCCCACTATCCTGCTGTCTCATTGTTCTTCGTGCACATGTCGTTACTTGCCCAATCATATTCATATTCGAGGATACGATGACGGGGTTGTGGAGATAGCACGTCTGAGTCTGCCAGCAAAGGGATAATGAAGTAACAAAAGGCTGACGGGAATATTTAATCTTTTGATTTGGTAGAATCGGATTGTTCTACATACTTACTCCGGGCGTATGTTGCAGTCGTAGAGACATCCGCCGAGGCCCGACCGAGCAGGGAGAATGCCACACGTTCTGCCTCTTCCATTCACAACTCTTCAGTCTTGTCGAGAGCAAAGAGACTGGTATATCTGATGGCAATAAACATGATACAGCATAACTGTACAAAATATTACATTCCGGACTGTCATGGAAGAAGTGCAACAGAAAACACTCACATTCCGCCTGCCCATCCCCTTGTTACTTTTATTCTTTGGAGCAGGACCAAATACCTTGAGTTAGCGGGCTTGCCAACCAGCAGTCAAAGAGGCTGGGGCAGAGTAGGGGTATGGGCGTACACCTCTGCAGACGAAAGGCAGCTCGAACAAGGGGGTGGCTGTGCTTGTTTGTTGTTTTCCCACTCCGCGCGTCGCCCACACCGCTGGAGAGGCCAATTATTCCACCTGTGAGCGATTGTCACCTAGGAGATCGAGTTGTGAGTGATCCCTTCCCGTGGCTCTGGGTTCCCTGTCTCATACTAACCTGTTACATCCAGATACCCAAACTTGATAGTTCGCCGGACGGTTGAAACGGCGCGAGTTAAGATACACCGGGCGCGATGCCGTGATCGTATGTCTTACCTTACATGGCTCGGGCATAGCTGGTCATATGAGGAAAGGGGAATGAGCTGCTGTCTTTCGGAGGGGAATAGATGCATTTCTCGACACTCTAGCATTTCAATGGACTAGCGTCATCATCCTAGCTCACTGTTGCATTGGGGCACTCCCCGCATCTGCAATAGGTACGGCTTCCCCACAGTTCTACAAATGCACCACATATATGTGTATACGAATCTGATGACATGCTGGTCACATCAGTTCTGTTGCTCAGGTCGTGTACCACGCGTGCGATGTGATTACCACCCCACGCACCTAGTACCCCCTCAAGTTCCTTTTCCTCGCCACGACGTTATATTCGGAATATTTGGATTCGCCTACGTTCCTCGCTCGCACAGGGTCCTCTGGGAAGACGATCATATTTACCTGGGATACATTACCTTGGACGCGGAAACAGCCACAAGAGAAGTAAGTTGTAACTCGGCCAGCTAACAGACGAGAAATAACTGGGGCTAACGCGTCTCGCCGTCCACAACCATAGTTTCTAATTAACAGGCCTGATCTCTAGGATATCCCATGGGCGAGCGACGCCGATTAGACGCCCCCGGTCTCTCTTGGTTCGTGTGGAGATGACTCCTCCGGCAACTGGTGAATGTGACGAGGATGGACCACTGGGGTCGCAACTGGCGGTGGAAAAAGTACGGTTAGCATCCCCATGTTCGTAACTTATGAGGTGCAGGAAGCTGACATCGTAGATCAGGAGTTGCGGCTATTGCGCCTCCTTTGGGGGATGCGCTTTCTAATTATATTCATGTTTCTTTATGGGTGCCATGGGCCCGCGAATGTTAGGGAGATGTGGATTCGGTGGTTGCAAGGTTCGTGGTCTAAGTTTCTGAATGGTACGTGAATCAAGACTAATGATACCCTGTGAACAAAGAGCATCGGTCAAGGTGGATGTCCGCCTATAAAGCCTTTTTGGATGTTGAAAGAGGGAGCATGCAAGGTCGAGGCTAGAGTCGGTGGAGGGGACAGGGAGTTGTGATCTGTGGAGTTGACGAATTGACGGGGTGTAGACGTAGACGTTTCGTTTTATTTCGTTGTGAATCCTATCTTACCTTGTCCCACTCGGGGCCAGCTCACGACTAGCCTTCTCGAGAGTAAAGGTGACAACGGAGACCCCTACCAATGGTTTCGCAAGTTGTCCTTATAAATGCAGCAGACTAGTCGTCTTGCAGGGAGAATCCTGCCGACGTCATAGGATTTACCCACATAATGGTGGGCAGTTCGGACATACATTGAAACTTAGATGATCACGTACCAAACGACCTCCCTTCAGCAGCGCAGCCAGAGCCGGCTGGCCCGGAAGGTACCCCTGAAATCAGATGTCAGGCTCGCAACTGCGTATATAAATTCAACCCGCCAGTCGTCCACTTTGCCCGTCAACCTGCCGCTTCAACCATCATCATCCACGTACTACCCACGTTACCTTCCCGTCCCCCTACGCCACGATTGATGGATGACATCGAGTATCAACGAACTTAATGCACTCCTGGAAAACGCACTAGCACTCCCGGGCAGGATGAGCTCTGCAGACAGGAGTGATGAGTGGAACAATGCTTCGCCTAGTCGAGACCTTGTCGCAAAGTCACACAAACGTACTCTGCTGATCTTCCCCATCCCCAACTTGGGTTATTATCACGGTGCGGCATTTCAATACCTTCCGTGAGAGCTACTAGAGCGTCCGTCGAAGGTGACTTTTTACTGGGGTGAGAAGCAAGCGGCAGAGGATAAAGAGAGATGATTGCTTAAGTTACGTGTCGAATTACACCGTGTCCGTGTGTTGGGAATGGAAATGGATATCCCATTACTTGTCTTGTATCCTCAGAAAGACGCGGGATGAACGTTTGCTGAGTTGCTGGCCATATCGTCGTAGCTTTCAACACTGGCTCAAGCAGAGACAAACAAGGATCCATAGACGGTTTGCGTGTGATCAATACGCTCGCGCAACGCGACGTTCGCCGCCCTTACCAAAGCCCCCTACGAAATGCGATTTGGGATGTATAAGTGTGACGGCGCCTGCTCACCCCTGTCAGGCTGCGATGTAGAATATACCAGGTGGATACGCACCACGTCGGTAAATTCCGATATCGGTCATAAGGGCTCACCACTGCACCTCACGACACGGGCAGATCCGTCCTATGTGATGCGATAAGCTGTCCTGCCGCTGCGAGTCCGATGTTACGCATACGGAGGATAAAAACCGAGCATGCTCTTTGCGAAACCTACAGGGATGATGACCGGTGCAATGGTGAACTCGTCTATGAATAGGCTGGTCGAGAGTATACGCTGCCTTGGACTTGGTGAGACCAATCGCGTAGATGGGGTCCGGTGTCTTACGAATCTAGGAGTGCATCACAAGAGATCTATCATGGTGTCAATGTGTCGCCGTAAAGGAGGATACTGGGCAAACCCATTGTCTAGAAAGTTTCATGTACGCACGACGTCGTTGGATGGGCGGTCTATGTGACCAACCGTGTCGCCACTGGTGAGCGCAAGGAGTCCCGTGCCCCCCGCGACCGAAACCCACCCCATTGTGATCACCGCGTGTTGTACGTCGTGTGTTTGAATATCAGCAGGGTTGTGGAGGCGACGTTCGAGGAGAAGGTGGCCTGTGGAGGTGCCGTACGTGCGCAAAGTGGACCCACCAGGTCTAGAGAGCAGTACGACGTCCGCAGAGGATGTTTATTAGACTACGAAACGCCAGACCAAGACACGTAGTTGAGTCGCTGTGCATGTCGAATGTCATGATGGGGTCATCATCGTCGTGGATGCTCCACGCTCACGACTAGTTAGAACTTTCACTGAATATTAGGTCGCCCAGTGCCCACCTAATGATCCGACTGTAACATTGAGTGCAGGGAAGACGTTGCTAGCTGTCGCTGTGAAGATGAGATCGTCATGAAGGTTGGTTGTGAGTGGACCGCCGACGAGTCTGGAATGCCAGCCGACTATGCCGACATCGATTCGTGTAATGTCCAGCTCGCTGCCGCCGACGGGCAGCCTCAAGTGCAGCATTGAGTCAAAGTGAGGATTTTTTCAGCTCTCCAACCTCGAAAGCTTGTAATGCGTTCCTATGCATTCCTACGAGGTTATGTATCGACAAGTCAGGCGCCGCACGACTCGATGAATGAGATGCTTGCCGGTGACGATATCGCTGTCCTATTGCATCTTACCTCTGCCATCTCGTTGGGGTGGGCACGTGTTGACGAGGCTACTGATGGGCGTGAGGCAGAGGTGAGGCCCGGGTATGTGCTATCATCGCGTGGGGCCTTGGTTTTGTGGGCAGATTCAGATTCCGATGAGAGGAAGAGAAGCGCTGAGGGTATCGGCGAGTGTGTAAGACACGGTGGAGCCCAAAGATTTAGCGGGACCGAGGGTGGGGCAGAGGGCATTTGGTGCATGCGATGGACAATTTTCTGGGATTAGATGGTTGTAGATATGCCAATACGTCACCAGGTGTTCCTGCGACACGTTTCCGCCAACCCTTGCCCCATGCGTGACCTCGTGCAGACGAAAACCGGATCTTGTGGAGCTCAGGGATCATTTGCCAAACCTTGATCGAAATCCTGACCTTGAAGAACACGATGCTATAGTGGCGTGAACTGATCGATATCGATATAGCTTGAGAGGACGTGTGGGCCATATATTGGGCGTCATGAGCGAGTCTACGATACGTCGTTCTTCTGCCCTCTGAACTACAAAACAGACTGTGTTAGCGAGCTTGTTAGCGACGACGATGGGTGCGTACCAGCAGTCAGAGCAGCTGAGGCGGCGCTACTGACAGTTCGCTGTGGCGGTTAAGATGCCAAACGCATCGAAATTGTATCTCAGGATGTGGTATGGGCAGTCACCTTTGCGGACGAAAGTCAGGTCGTAGGAGGATATATGAACAGCGAAATCCGTCGATGGAGGATTGAAGATGGACAGCAACAGGGTCCAACCATGAATGGAACGAGTGGCGCTGGTCTTGTCTGTTGTCGTTTCCCAGGATGGCCGGTGGATCGTAACTGGAGACAGCAGAATGAAGGCGACTCTCTGGAACGCAACCACTCATGAAAAAGTGCGCGAGTTCACGGAACACCAATGCTTGGTACTCGGAGTCGATGTCTCGAGCGACGGTACTAAACTTGCCACTGCGGACAACTTCAACGTCCAGATAATCAGCATCCCTTCCGGTGACCGACTCCATTGGCTCCAACACGATAGCGTTGTTAGTGTCAAGTTCTCTCCGGACGGCACTCGACTTGCTACTGTCTCGTGGAAACAAGGTTTCCGTGTCTACAGCACTGATGATGGCAATATCTTGTTCAATTCAGGTCAAAGCGGTGGCATCGGCTCTTCGCCCTGTACTCTGTTGGCCTGGTCGCCTGATGGCCAGCAACTGTTCGTCGCGAACAAAGGCAAAATCATCTGTTACGACCTTGCAAAGTCCTCGTCTTCGGAATGGTCAATCCATGAAAACCAAACCCAACCATCTATAGCATCCAACGGCAGATTCATCGCATGCTCCGAAGGTTCATCGATCTCGCTATGGGATTGCGTGTCCCACAAGCAGATCGGTAGCATTATCACACACACCGCAACGGTTGAATGCATCGCTCTCCCAGCGAGCGGACGGTATCTCGCATTTGGAAATGGCAAGATTATCACGGTTCACGATCTCAGAGATGTCCTTCCCCTTGGGTGTTTCGAGCATAGTGTAAGTGTACATCCACTCATGAAGCTTGCTCCGCTAACAATCTTCATGCTATTCTCGTGTCCTGCGTAACCTTTTAATCCATCATCAACTCTACGCTTCTCAGCTTCCGCTCGTAGAAATGGGCCTCGCGACCTTCCTGTCATGGACACAGGATGACCCGACGCAAACCGAGATACTACTCTCAGAGGATATCGCCAGCGCTTCTAGCCCTAGCCACTGCATGCTGGCGAATCGCGCACTTATACGAACACGACTAGAACATTTGGCACCTGCGATAGAGGACGCCAAAGAGGTGAGTCCACTTCCCCACCATTGCATGTGTATGGTTGCTCACGCGCACCTCAAGTCCCTCCGGATTCGGCGATCACCTATCGGCCATATCGCGATGGCCCTTGCCCTCCTTGGCCAGGGCGATCGGGAGGGTGCGCGATGCACGTTCGACCTTGCATTTCATGATTGTGAGCTGCATGACATCAGATTTCTCTTACTACTAAAGGTGCGTGAGGTGATCTGCGTCATTTTCGCCATTAACCTACGTTCTGCTCAGTCGATCCTTGTTTTCGAATCTGGAAATCAAGAAGAGGGGGTAATGCGTGCAGAGCACCTTGCTACGATAGCGGGCGAGGACAATGATGATGACGCCTCCCACATTTACAGCCAGGCATGAGTCTCGTGTGATGCAGACGTATATGCATCACCGCTGATACATTTCGCAGGTCCTTGCTGTCATGTACACGAAGAAAAGGAGTTACGGACGTGCGATATCATTGATGGAGCACGCGAAGAGCCTGGCCCCAAAGGACAAACGATGTCCTCCGCTAGTGACGATCTCGCTCGTATGTCTTCTGCTGTTACGAGCACTGCCTATTAATTCAACCCTCCATAAAGATATTTGGGTGGAGTTTCAATGGAGTGGATATCACTGCCCAGCAACGTCTATGTGAGACCCTCTATGCTGGAGAACGTACAGCCGAAGCCACAGAGATCCTCCTCAATATCATCCGGACATCAGACAAGGAGAGAAACCCAATCGCAGGTTGGATCTCAGGTGTGTCTTGTAACTTGTAGTTGACGTGCACATTTATGTCTGTCATCAGACTTCACCCAAAAATGTGCTGTCACACTTGAGCATGCTGGCGACGATGCGTTCGGATCCTCAGAGCATGATGAGGCAATAGCACAGTACTCTGCTGTGCTGTCCCTCAGTCCTCAAAGTCCCGCTCGTTTGCTCATCAAACGGAGCAGAGCTCGAGCTGCGAAAGAGTTGTGGGAGGATGCACTTCAGGATGCGAACGAGGTATGCATGGTATCTTCCTTGTATGAATGGGTTCCCCTATAATTGCTGCATAGGCAGTGAAAGCGGATCCTTCCAGCCCGTGGGGCTACGAGGCCCAGCACGTGGCGCTTCATGGCGCGAAGCAGTACGACGAAGCGATTGAAGCTTTCAAGTCCATGCTACACAGGATGGAGCAGTCCCATGACCCCGCAATCATCCGTATGTACCTCCTATATGAAGGTAACACCCACAGATAACCGTTTCACAGAACTCCGTAAGACCTACATTTCACCATCCGACACGATTGCGGCAATCGGTTCTGTCGTCAGCGAGATCTGTTGTCCCCTTGTCGTCATTGATGTTACTACCGGTTACCTTTGCAACGAGACTGAGCGGATGCATATTTTCAAGGCTGATCCGGGGTTCAAACAACTTGTTTCATCCATGACGAAAAAAGTGGACAAGACGCTGATCCGACCTGTGGTTGAGAGGTTTTTCGGATATGTCATGTTCTCTCACACATGGCAGGGGAAGGAGCCGTCGTTCCAGGATGTCAACTTAGTCAACTCTGTGTGGGACCTTCCCGACACGCCCCTGAATAACAAGTTGCGTGTTTTCTGCCAGGAAACGCGCAGGCTTGGTTACAACTGGGCATGGTCCGATACGTGTTGTATCGACAAGTCCACGAGCCCCATCCTTAACCAATCCCTTACGTCCATGTACAAATGGTATGCGAATTCGGCAGGTCACACTTGTATTACCTTGCGGGTGTCACGCATCCATCCAAGTCCGGGGATCCTTGCGCGTAGTTTATGGATGACGCGAGCTTGGACGTTGCAAGAACTTCTCTCGCCGGAAGTCGTCTTTTTCTATGACTCCGAGTGGAAACCATACATTGGCGATACTGGCATGAACCACAAGAAATCTCCGGAGATAGTGCAAGAGCTGGCAGACGCTATCAAGATTCCCCCCGGATCCATTATCAAGTTCTCTCCAGACAATCTCGGGGTACGCGAGAAACTTCAGTCTCGCTTCGACGCGCAATGCGAAGTTCGATGAAGACGTCGCATACTCTCTGATCGGCATATTCAAGTCCTGATATCAGGCCTCACTACGGTGAAGGAGCCGACGCTCTCGGACATCTGCTGGAGGAGATCGTGGCTCGCACCGGCGAGGTCACCGTGCTTGCGTGGTCAGGGACATCGTCCTCGTACAACAGCTGTCTCCCGGCTTCCGTTTCCGTCTACAGCCAAATTCCTTACATCCCTCCGTCACTCGAAGGGGAAGAAATGGAAATTCGCATCACGAAATTACGTGACGAGTTGCCGAAGGAAGTTCTCCTAAGCATCTACAATCAGATCAACCTTCTTCCACCCGCGCGTTTTGGTGCCCAACGTCTATATCTTCCATGCATCATCTTCCCCGTCAGAAAACTGGAGCTACGCAGAGGCAGTGAGAAGCTGTATCGTGTCAAGGTATCAAGGCTTGGAAAAGTGGAGTTCTCGACCGCCGACGATCTCCCGCTGCACGAGGCACAGACATTTATCCTCGTACATCCGTGGATTGATCATATCCGAGGTCCCAATAGTGTGGTTTCCTGGGGAGATGACCCGGAGTCTGATACTAACTCTGACGGCGATTCGGATAACGGCACTGAATCGGATGGAGATGCGCCGTCTTCGCCATTACACGCTGTCCCCCCTCAAGTTGATGGCTATACTCGAGCACTGCAAGTGATTGCTCGCCTCGGACAGCCGTTCAACGCGTTGCTTCTTGCACAACAGCCGAAAGGAGGTTACAGGAGGGTCGCCACAGAGAAAGAGATTGTCGTTTCGGGACTTGGAACTAACATCACCTTGAGCATTCGGGTGGGGGTGTTGGAAATCCTTTGACGTGTGCATGGGGGATTTGCTGGTCGTCAAAGCTGGTCCGTCTTTCTTCCTTTAGCGGTCACTTATGGTGTACTTTTGTGCTGTTTGTTGCCTTTGTCCATCGTCCTCATCGTGCTCCTTACGTCGTCACATCTGCTGTTCATATATGCTACGCGCGGCCCCATCTGGGCCAACCAATGCTGCCCGTCAGCCAATATACTACTACTCGATGTATTCTCTCGATACTTATTTCACAACGATCCCCACAATTCGCTCTCCAGCCCCGATCAGGGATATTTCGACTTCTGCGGGTTAGTATCGGCTTGCGTGGATGCCGAAACCCGAGGTGGATGGATTGGACAATCCGACCACTCTAGCTATAGTACTTTCTGAAGCAGAGGCGGTATGTAGATTCCGTTTAGGGAGTCCGCGATTCTGCATTTACGATCTTGGTCCGAGGGTAGCTGGCATGAGAAACTCATCTGCCACTTTCTCGATCCGTGGCACCTTCGCTAGCATGAGAGATATCGAGAGTAACCTTTCGAACGTGGCTGAACTTTGACCCAGTGCCGAAGCTGACACGCTTCAATGCATAACAGTCAGAATAGTCAAAGCACTGTAAGTTTGGGTGCGACAATGGCTTTCGCGACCTGGCTGGACAACCGGAAATCTTCTGAGTATCTGAAAGTTAACCCTAGGGACGTCCGACCGGCGTCGTTGTCCTTCCCGTTGACCGTGAGGGACGTCAAAGTTAGCTTGCTTCAATAAAACATACCTACCCGTGTCCGTCCTTATATCTAGACGGAATCTATCGTTCTGTTGTGAACGGCGTATATTCATACCATGACACAGCATTCGGCCCTCGAATCTAAGTCCGTGCTCGAGGGCCTATACATTTTACATTGCAAGGGGCTTCCGAGTAGTGCAATCCGACACAAACAGCCACCAGCATCATGGTAACCCGAAGTCACTGGTGCGGTACATAAATTAGGAGTGCCTCTACAAACAAACGCCTACGCCCTATCCGGGTATCCATCTATCCTACCCCGAATACCATCTTGCCCTCGAACTGCCTTCTCCTCACCACAGGTCTCACGAGCCCAATCGCAAGCGCAAGACCCCCGATTGTCAGCACCAACTGCGCCTTGTTGAAACTCTCCGAAAGAACATCGAACGTCCCCGACGGAGAGACGCGCGTTAGGAAGAGGTCAAGGCCGATCGCGAGAACGAGAGACGTAGATTCGAGCCGGGATGGTGCGCTAATGATTTGGCGGACGTTGGCAACCTGTTATAACAATGAGAATTAACATAGTTGAGTATGAAGAATGAATATGAGGGAGTATGGAGAGTCGATCGTACCTCGTAATTATGCGACAGCGCAAACCGAGCATCATCCGGAAGTACAGCATCATACGCGATGAGTCCTTCTTCGGCCTCAGACGGCGACGCCTTGCCAAGGGGTCTTCGTGCATTCAGAAGTCTCCGGTGGACGGAATACACGGCGTGTCTACGGCTTGCCACTGTAATGCAGCAACAAAATCATTGTCAATCATCCAATGACAGTAGAACACAAATATTGATGACCAGAGCGATACGCACTTATCAGATTCTTGAGAGTCACACCGAGGCGGGTCGATGTCGTCGAAAGCGCGGTGACACCGTACGGTATAAGATACGCCTGCTCGTACGTCGTAATATCGGTTGTAGCGTTTGAGTAAGACGATAACTCCGAGCTACGCGGAAATCAGTTCTCTTCCAATCTCCACGACAGACAAAACAGATTCAGGAGATAGAAAAAATTCCATACCTGCGCGTCACATCATCCGGCTTCTTCCCCTCATACATTTCCACCGAAACGATCCTCCACCCCTTCGTACCACCGCCTTCCATCCCATGCCCATGGCCGTAGTCTACATCAGTTCTATCCTCGTAATACGAGTACACCAACCAATGATCAACGAGCACAGCGTGGACGTCGTCGCATCTTCCCTCGGGGGCGGGTAAACCCACCTGGTACAAAATCGTCCCTTTGACGCTATCCAGGACATATAACCCGCACGTTCCCTTCGCTTCGGTCAACACGACCCTCAGACTGCCTATTCAAGTACTTATACAGCGTCCTCCGGTCTCCCAGAACCTTCCCGACAACCGGTGCCTCTCGACCCGCGTTCCCGTTCAGAATCGTTTCCCGGATCGTTTCGCCAGAGCCAAGGGTAATCCGCCACGTGGGATATGCGACGTGTACGGTGGAAACGTCGTCGTTGAAGCCGAGACGGTGTCCGACGAGTTGTGTGCGTGTCGATAGTTCGTCGTTGTTGCTGTTCACCTCGGGCCGCGAGGTAGGAGACGTGCGTGCAGAGAGGACAAGGTGTAGGGAAGGCGCGAAACGTGCCAAGGACTCGCGGGTAGCTGGAGTATCTGGGTATAGCTGGACCTATATATCGCGCATTCGATCAACACTAGCCATACACAAAAAAGCCAACGCGACTTCAAAAACGAAAAACTGCAAACCTACCTGCAAAAACTCATCCAACATCGCAACAGTCCCCTGCCCATCAGGAACAACAAATGATTCGATCATCGGACCCTGTATCACATCCGTCCCCTCCAACGGACCATACCTTGAGCGAGGGGAGTCGCCCTCACCATCTTCGACAGGGCGTACATCATCGCCGGTTAATGGGTCCACCTCAAATACGACCGTATCCACAAGGCTCTTTATGTTGAGTTTAAGAAAAAGGAAAGAAGTCAGTAAAACTTGCCCACTAGGGTGATAGGAACCACATACATTATGCGCCCGTCTCTGCGTCACCAGTACAACAGTCTGCTTCATCGTCTCCTCTTCCTTACCGCTGGAATCGCCCAGAGTTCCCGATTTCGAAGGTACAACATACATCTTCACGGGTAAAACTCTCCCTCCCACACTGCCAGAAGCCCAACCCAACCCAAACAAGCGCCTCCAGATTACTCTTCCATTGCTCGAGTCGAGGCCGTACAAAACGCCTTCCGTTGTTGCCGCAACAATCACTTGGCGGAATCCAAACCGGTCACTGTGGAGAGTGGAAGGTGCATCAGAACTATGCATTGGTCCGTCTTCACGGATGATCGGGCCCAAGGTGTACGTGTACAAGTGCTGTAGGATACTCTCAGAGAATCGTTGAATGCAGGTTAGGAGAGTACCGGATATGCTGGTCGATCCGGTGGACGGGCTGCTAGATGCACTTGGCTGAGGTAAAGGTACGAAAGCAGCAACGCGGATGGTCGAGAGCGCTTCCTCGCGGGACCACTGCAGAACATTGTGTTTCCATAACTGAAGGGTACCTGTTGACGTCGCCAGTAGAAATCGCGTGGTCTCTTGAGTGTCATCGGATCGTCCGTCGAAGGTAACCTTTGGGTGGGTAGGGAGTGAGTGGCAGAGAAGGGTAAAGAGAGAAGATCACTTACGTGTCGAATTACACCGTGTCCGTGTGTTGGGAATGGAAATGCGTATCCCGTTACTTGTCCTGTGCCATCAGAAAGACGCGGGGTGAACGTCTGATGGATTGCTTGCTACACCATCGTAATTTTCAATACTGGTACAAGCACAAAGACAAGCGGGGATACATACACCATTCGCGTGCGACCAATATACTCTCACAATGCGAGGTTCGCCGTTCTCACCAAAGCTCCCTGCAAAATGCGACTCGCTGTGCGTCTGGGACGGTGCCTGCTCGTTCCTGTCAGGTTGGGAGGTGGAGAGACAGTCGTACCAACCGAACACGTACCACGTCGGCGAATTCCCACATCGGTCGTAAAGACTCTCCGTCGTACCTCATGACATGGGCAGACCCGTCCTGTGTGAATGCGATAAACTGGCCCGCCCCGGTGAGTCCGATGTCTCGGATATGTGTGTAGTTCACACCGGGTAGAATCTGGACCTGGCCTTTTAGTCCTGGAGTGAGCACCGCTGCTCTGATTGAGGACGACTCCAGCCATGTCAGACAAAGTCCTGGTGCGATTTCTGCCGTCATGGGCGTGTCAAGGAGAACAAAACCGGGCGTGTCCTTTGGAAGATTTGCAGGGATGTTGACAGATGCAATGGTGGATCCGTTGTCTATGGATAAAGTGGTGACGTGCAGAGTGTATGCTGCCTCGGACCTGGCGAGACCGATCGCATAGACAGTGTCTGGCGTGGTACGAATGTGGGAGTACACCACGAGCGTCCTATCCGGGTATCAGCGCGTCACCGTAAAGAGAAAAACTGGACAAACCCATTGTCTGGAGAATTCCATGTCCATGCAACATCGCCAGACTGGCCGTCTATACGACTGACCGTGTGGCCATTGGTGAGCGCAAAGATCGCGGTGCTCCCTTCGACCGAAATCCGCCTTGTTGTGATTGCTGTGTGTTGTACTTCGTGTGTTTCAGCGCGAGGAAGGCTGTGGAGACGACGTTCGAGGAGAAGGTGGCCTGTGGATGTGTTATACGTGCGTAGAGTGGATCCACCAGGCCCAGAGAGTAATGCGACGTCTGTAACGGGTGTTTAGTACATGGTAAAACGCTAGACGAAAGAGACACGTACTTGAGTCGTCGTACACGTCAAATGCCCTGATGGGGTCGTCGTCGTCGTGGATGCTCCTCCATGCTTTCAGCGAGTTAGAACTTCCACACCGAACATCAGACTGTCCAGTGCCCACCTAATGAACCGTCTGCAGCATTGATTGCAGCGAAGACGTTGCTGGCTGTCGTTGCGAGAATGAGATCGCCATGAAAGTTGGTTTTGAGTGGAACGCCGACGAGTCTGGAGTGCCAGTCGACCACGCCGACGTCGGATTCGTGCAGTGCCCAGCTCGCCGCTGCCAACGACAGCGACGCGACGAGCAGCCTCAAGTGTAACATTTGAAAGTGCTAGTGAGAATTTAGGAATTGATTAGGGATGCGCTATATAATTAGGCACTTGAACTCAAACAACAGCGACGACGACAACGACGGCCTACGGCCCCGACAAACGGATCGCACAGCTGATAGACTGCCAACATCCGCCTGAACAAGACACGAAAATCCTCTTCCACACTATCCGAGCCATCCTCCTCGAGGAATCCGGCATCGAGTCCGTACATATCGACACCAGTCACCATCTGCGACAACATCGACGGCCAGTTCTGGGACCTCCTCTAACTATGTGCCCAGGAAATGCGTTACCTGTCCCCTATCGTTGTGGCCATCCGGATATCCCGACAAGGTCACTTTGTTGCGGGGCAATCACGAAAGTAGACAAATCACCCAATTAAGTCTACGGGTTTTATGGCACTCTTCACTCCGATGCTAAATTCTCTTCCCAGACGAATGCTAACAAAAGAACGGAATTGCTGCAGTTTGCAAAGCGTGTTCGATCATCCGAACCTCGCTGCGGAATGCCACCACGCACCATCAATACAGGAACTTATCGACCATCTCTCAATTCATCGACGGAGAACATTGTGCGTACACTACGGACTCTCTCTAGACATACGCGCCCTCGACCGAATTCGCATCCTCTCAAGCGTTCAGGAAATCCCCCACGAAGGCATATTCTGCGGTGCAGTTTGAGCGCCCCCCGAATTGGAATGGAATGGTTTGTAATGACACCTTCTACAGACCTTACGTAGTCATACCCCGACGACATCAATAATCGGGCTGTGAGTCCTCGCGGTGCAGGCTGGGAGATATGTAACTCGAGAGGTACGTCATTCATTCCATTCGGGCAAATCGCATGCTCTGCTTTCCTAACTCAAAACACGTCCTGGACGCGCTTTGTCCCTCGGCGCGAAATACGGGTGTTTCAATGAACAGCTAAGGCGGTAATATGACATGTCCACCACGCCTGGACCCAGTGCCCCAAGCCAGCGCCCTTGCCTTATAGATATTCCGTTATATCATATCTTCCAGAAATTCAATGTATCAACGTGAGGTTTACACAGAAAGGCACGCTCGATATGCCACGTCTTGCCATGATCCAGACTTCCTTAGGAGAAACACGCAAAAGTCGGAATAACAATTCTTACCGTATTCACGTTTTGGGCGTTGTGATTGTGTGGGGGCGTACAAGTGGTGTGAAGGCGCAGGCGGTATGAGGGCATACAGATGGTGTGAGGGCACAGACGGTGCGAGGGGGTCAACATATAAAAGCGGCCTAATTCTTGCTCATTTACCTTCAGTTTACTCAACCACCGCAGAGCCAACCATCACGCATGAGCATCCCTCTCGACAAGGTTTTTGTTTGGTGGTCCAATACTCCTCTAAGTTCTCTAGCACGGTCAATCCCTACGTTGTCCCTTTCTACTACATCCGGAATGATAAGATGCGCTACTTCGCTGATTTCCCTAGCCAAGCCGTCAAGGACGAGTTCCTCAAGTTTCTGAGGACACATAAAGCAGTGCAAACCAGTGATTGGTACAGGCTAGACAGCGACACTGCCGTTCATGATAGCTTTGCCAAAGCCGCTCAGTTGGGCGGAAATGCGGACAACTTGTCGCCTCATGCGCGAGCCTAGAGGGAAAATGTGTGTTGACATACCGTGATGAACCACGAGTGTATCCAATGAAGGGTTCCTTGATATGCAGAGGTTCACTGCAGTCCACTTGGACTGCGGAAGTGTTTTCTGCCGTGATTTTTTTAGATATATAGAAAGCAAGAAAAAAAAGAACATCTTTTCTCGAGTTCATCGGACATGGCGATCAGGTACACTTTGCACCTACATAATAACTTGATCTCCTCAACAGTCATCTTTGATGACCTTCCATGCAATCGGTGTATCGTTTGCTGTTGAGCCAAAATTAAATGTGGAGGTTATAACTCGCGCTTGGAATCGGATGTTGGTGCACCTGGTCTTGATGATCGTACTTCAAGTATGTATCGCTGGCCTGTGTGCATACTTGAACTTGAGGCCCGTAGCGAGCACTTCACTGCCGCATACAAGCATACGAGTAATCGCCACGCGCTCGAGTTGGAACCACTGTCCCGCTTTTTCTCTGTTCACTATTGATGACGCGTCGCGTGTAGTGTAACTCTGTGAAAGAACAACAGATTAGCGCACGAGATAGGTTGAAGTCGATGGGCCAATGGAGCGCGAGACAGATATAGAGCATCTCAGAACTACTGCAACAGAGACTTCGCTTTGCATACCAGACGGGGGAAAGAGGCCCAACGGCAAAACATGGCTGAGAAAAGGGCTGTCGACAGGGAAAAGATTGTGATCAGGAAGGATTGGGATGCCACCGTGTGAGGAGAGGCAACCTAAGTGCCAGGGGAAGTGTGAGAGAGCGAGGAGATACAACCACGAGGTGAAAAGAGGCAACCCGCGTGCCCGGAGGAGTGTGAGAATCCATGGTAAGTGGCTGAATGCGAAGAAAGGCAATCTGCGTGCCAGGAGTGCGAGAATGAGATGATACACGGCCAGATGCGAAGAGCGGCAGCCTGCACTCCTAGAGGAGCGCGAGCAAACAAAACAAGAAGGAATGGGAAACGACGATGAAAGAATACCCAGAGCCAAAGGAGGAGACAGGGCGAATGAGCGAGGGCAACCATTTATGAAATACAACCTTGAACATGAGGGAAATGGGTACCTTCAAACATTTCGGGGCTAGTCCGAAGAGCACCCCACACCTCGCAAAGGGCGTCTGTAGAAATCGAAAGGAGAGGACGCACAATTGGCACTTCCGACAAACGCACTTAACTGGCTGACTCCCAATGAGTCGGGAAGTCATGGTTTCATGTGGGGCACCAATAACTCAGGCTCGAAAACAATCTGGAAGAGGTAGGAGTGCAAGGGGCTGATGTTGTCATTACTGTAGTCCCGAATAACGTGGAGGTGAACAACGCAAGATGGAAGCCATGACCCGCGGGGTGACGACAGGATCGAAACCGATGGTTCCGCCGGAAGTGAGCACAATGTGGGTGGGAAGAAGGACGAGATAGGGAAAGTGGAGTCGATTCGAATGCTAGTGCTGGGTAAGGTGTGACAAAATAGTGGCCTGGGCAAAGGAAGAGCTTGACCTGAAAGCGGCGGGTTGGGGGAAGAGGCCATTGACGGGGCAGTGTTGTCTCGTCGGACGAGTTTGTCCTCGCAGGGGGGGATTCTGTGGCCAGATCAGACGACGCACTCGAATGACCCGTGGGAAAAGACGGCGAACACTACTTGGGACTGCTAGTGAGGATTAGGAATTGATTAGAGACACGCTATTTGGCCACCCGGGACTCAGACAACGGCGACGATGATGACCTACGACCCCGACAAATGGATCGCACAGCTGATGGACTGCCAACATCTGCCCGAACAAGACATGAAAATCCTCTGCGACACCGTCCGAGCCATCCTCCTCGAGGAATCCAACATCCAGCCTGTATCGTCACCAGTCACCATCTGCGGCGACATTCACGGCCAGTTCTGGGACCTCCTCGAACTGCTCAGGAAAGGCGGAAGCGTGCCAGAGACGAGCTATATCTTCATGGCACGTAGGTGTTCTTGGGCATCGCAGCTTCGGCAGCTCATATCACACTTCGCAGGGAGATTTCGTCGACCGGGGCCACTACAGTCTCGAAACCGTGTCATTACTCCTAGCACTCAAAGCAAGGCAAGCTGTTCCGATCATGACTAGGCCCCTATCGTTCATGGTCTTCCAGATATCCCGATAAGGTCACGTTGTTGCGGGGCAATCACGAAAGTCGACAAATCACCCAAGTATACGGGTTCTATGGTGTGTCCTTGCATGCACTCTTCGCCCCAACGCTAAATTCTCTTCCCAGACGAATGTCAACAAAAGTACGGAAGCGCCGCAGTATGGAAAGCTTGCTGTAACGTGTTCGACTATCTGAACCTCGCTGCAGTACGTCACCTCACATCCCTGACAAACATCACTTACAACCATCTCAGATTATCGACGGAGAAACTTTATGTGTACACGGCGGACTCTCTCCAGACATACGGACTCTCGACCAAATTCGCGTACTTTCAAGAGCCCAGGAGATTCCTCACGAAGGCGCATTCTGCGGTAAGCTTCCAGCCTTCCTCAAGTTGGAATCGTTTGATATGACGCCTTCTATAGACCTCATGTGGTCAGATCCTGACGACATCGATAATTGGGCTGTAAGTCCCCGCGGTGCTGGCTGGCTCTTCGGCGGAAACGTAACTCGAGAGGTACGTCGTTCATGCCGTTCAGGTACATCGCATATACTCACTCCACCATCTTCGCAGTTCAACCACGTCAACTCACTCAGTCTTATCGCCCGCGCCCACCAACTCGTTCAAGAAGGCTACAAATACATGTTCGACAACGCCCTAGTCACCGTATGGTCCGCACCTAATTACTGCTATCGATGTGGGAACATGGCATCGGTGTTAACACTGAGAGAAGGTGGGGAGCATGAATTCAAGGTATTCGGTCCGGCTCCCGAGAATGAGAAGGATAAGGGGATGGGCAGGCGGAATGTGAGCGTTTTCTATTAACTTCACCTGGGGTACTGAAGTGCTGACACTCTGCTACGACAGCCCGGAATGCAATATTTTGTATAGTTATGCTGTATCTTGTTTATTGCTGTCGGATATACCAGTCTTCTTGCTCTCGACAGGACTGAAGAGCTGTGAATGGATGACGCGGATCGCGCGGCGTTCTCTGCGACTGCAACCTACGCTCGGAGTAGGTATGTACACTAATTCGATTCTACCAAATCACAAGGTCAAGATTTCCATCAGGCTTACTTATTCCTTTGCTAGCAGATTCAGACGTGGCGTCTCCGTCGCCCCATCATCGTATCCCCGAGCATGAATATGGTTGGGTAAGTAACAACAGGTGCACGAAGAACAATAAGACAGGAGGATGGTGGGCCTTGTGCTACCGTCATATCCCCCGTCTCCACTGTCTTCTCTCTCGAATGAAGGGCTGTCACGATGACGGCCTCGAGGGAAATGTTCCCGAGTAATGGCCTGCGCGGTAGTCAGAGTTATCAGTTCCCTACCCAGTGCCATCAGCTACGTAGGTACTAGAAAACGATCCCACAAGCTCGGTAAGTTCGCCTAATCAATCTCACGTCGACCCGAAAAAGTTGCGTCTTCAGAGGGAGGAAACGGGACTGGCACCCTATCAATGGACTAATTGATGAGAGTAGGAATGGGAAAAACCATATCAACGCACGAGGAGTAAGCCCTTGGAGATCACAGGTGGTCGTCCGTATCATGGAGGCTATCGTCCAGAGAATCCATTTAATTGCGTATGGGGCGTGTCATCGATCATGCTCACGTTGCCTTGCAGGGGACAAACACTGTGCAAAATCCAATGATCGCCAGCGAGTGAGATAGCCTGTTGGTATCTTGCTAGCGACAGTAAGCCCAAAGGGCACAGTTCACATCAACGGAGAAGTGCTAGAGAACCGAAGCAGAGCGTTGGTATATGGCGTATCATAGACATGATATGTCGTCCAGAGAGAGATAATGATAAACTCACGCGACTCACGCAGACCTAACGTTCGGCAACGGAACGGCACCAATGGAACCGCTGACACCTCTGCAGTCGACTTTGGTATCCCGAGGCGCATCGAGATTCTGTACCACGACAGTGGATTGTAAATGTGTACGACCGGGTGAGCATATCCATGTGACCGACTCACGGGAGTACCAGTGCAGGATGGTATCGACTAAGTCGAGCATTGTTCCTCCTGTCCCTTCACCAATAATTTCCTCGGAAGGGCCAACGCATTTGCCAGGAGCACATGAGGTTTATTGGCACGACGAGAAGAGTCGGCGCTCGGGTGTCGTCCATCAATCGTGACGCAGAGGGGGACGGGGGAGTAGGTGCGCAGTACGGCTGATGATGGTTGAGGAGGAAGATGGGCGGGTAGAATGGACGACCGGTGTGCTGAATTTATAAGGGCAGTTGGGAGCCTGACATCTGATTTCGGGGGGGGGGGGGGGGGGGGGGAAACTTTCCGGGTCAGCCACCTTTTGGCTGCCGGCTCCCCGAAGGGACGGGACTTGGTACGTCATCATCTAAAGTTTCAGTGTGAATCCGAGCTGCTGGTTGTGGCGTGTACAGTCTACAAGACGTTGGTAGGGTCCTCCCTCCGAGACGACTGGGTTGCTGCATGTGCAAGGACAACTGGCAGGCCGATATCTGATTCCGAAGGTTCTTTCGGACGACCAATATTGGCAGGGCTCTCTGTCGTCCCCCTTACCCTCGAAGGCTATAGTCGTAAGCTGTGCCTGAGTAGGATAGGATTCAAAACGAAATGAAACCAAGCAGCTATGTCGATACACCGTCAGCTCGTCAACTTCATCAAGTCCAACTGACCCCTCTCTGGCCTCAACTTTCATGTGTACCGTATCCCAAAGCTTTATACGAGGACATCCACCTTCGCCGGGTCCCTCGGGTTACGAAGGTGTTATCATGCTTACATAATTCTTGTATCGTTCAGAATTTGCGAACACCCGCCACGCGAGAACCGACTCCCCATCTCCCCCACATTCGGTGGCACCTGGCGCCCATAAAAGATGATCGGGCAAGTAGCAGAACAAACCACATCCTCCAAAGAGTTCTGGACAATGAATTGTTGAGATTGTTGTAGAATAGGTATCAGATGAATATATCGTGTCGGTACGTTAGCTGATCATGCGTATCTACATATAAACAACAGATATGAGGATGTCCGGAGGGGTATGATGAGGACGATGAGCAAAGACTACGAAACAGCACGAAGGAAGATACGAACACAAAAAATGACTGCTAAAGGAGGAAAGATAGACCAGCTTTAACGACCAGCAATCCTCCATATACACGTCAAAGGATTTCTAACACCCCCGCCCGAATGTTCGTGGGGATGTTGGTTCCAAGTCCTGAAACGACAATCTCTTCCTCTGTGGCAACCCTCCTGTACTCTCCCTTTGGCTGCTGTGCGAGCAGCAACGCGCTGAACGGCTGTCCGAGACGAGCAATCATTTGCAGTGCTCGGGTATAGCCGTCAACTCGAGGGGGGAGAGCGTGTAACGGCGAAGACGGCAGAGAAACTCCATCCGATTCAGCGTCGTGATCTGAATCGCAGTTAGAGTCAGCATCGGACTCCGGATCCATCTCCCCAGGAAACCACACTATTGGGACCTCGGATATGACCAATCCACGGATGTACGAAGACAAATTTATGTGCCTCATGCAGCGGGAGGTCGTCGGCAGGTCGAGAACTCCACTTTTCCAAGTCCTGATACCCTGGCACGATACAGCTTCTCACTGCCACTGCGTAGCTCCAGTCTTCTGAGGGGGAAGATGATGCATGGAAGATGTAGACGTCTGGTACCAAAACGCGCAGGCGGAAGCAACTTGATTTGATTATAAATGCTAAGGACAACTTCCTGGGGCAACTTGCTGCGTAGTTTTGTGATGCATGTTTCCATTTCTTCTCCTTCGAGTGACGGAGGGGTGTAAGGAATTTGGCTGTAGACGGAAACGGAAGCCGGGAGACAGCTGTTGTACGACGACGACGTCCCTGACCACGCAAGTACGGTGACCTCGCCAGTGCGAGCTACGATCTCCTCCAGCAGATGTCCGAGAGCGTCGGTTCCTTCGCCATAGTGGGGCCTGATATCAGATTTGAATATGCCGATCAGAGAGTATGCGACGTCTTCCTCCTTCGTCGCATTGCGTGTAGAAGCAAGACGAAGTTTTTCGCGAACCCCAAGATCATCTGGAGAGAACCTGACAATGGTTCCAGAGGAAATCTTGATAGCATCTGCAAGCTCTTGCATGATCACCGGAGATTGCTTGTGGTTCATGCCAATATCGCCGAGGTATGGTTTCCACTCGGAGTCATAGAACAAGATGACCCCTGGTGAGAGAAGCTCTTGTAAAGTCCAAGCTCGCGTCATCCAAAAACTACGCGCAAGGTCTCCAGGCTTGGACGGATGGGCTACACCGGCAAGGTATACAAGCGTGACTGCCGAATTCGCGTACCATTTGTACATCAAAGTAAGGGATTCGGATAGGGTAACGGTGGCGCTCTGGGACTTGTCGATACAACACGTATCCGACCAGGCCCAATTGTAACCGAGCCTGCGTGTTTCCTCGCAGAAATCACGCAACTTCTTATTCAGGCGCGTTTTGGGAAGGCCCCACACGAGGTTGACTTCGTTGACGTCCTGGAGCGGAAGGTCCCACACGGAGTTGACTTTGTCGACGTCCTGGAACGACGGCTCCTTTCCCCTGCCATGCGTGCGAGAACATGACGTATCCGAAAAAACTTTTAACCACAGGTCGGATCTGCGTCTCGTCCACTTTTTTCGTCATAGATGACACAAGTTCTTTGAACCTCGGATGAGCCTTGAATATACGCATCCGCTCAGTCTCGTCGCAAAGGCGACCAGTAGTGACATAAATGACGACGAAGGGACAACAGATCTCGCGGACGATGGAATCGATAGCTGCGATTGTGTCAGATGGTGAAATGTAGTTCTTACGGAGTTCTGTGAAACTGTTATTTGTAGATATTGGCGTCATACAGGAGATACATACGGATAGTCTCAGGGTCACAGGACTGTTCGATCCTGAGTAGCATGGACTTGAAAGCCTCAATCGCCTCGTCATACTGCTTCGCGCCATGAAGCGCCACATGCTTGGCCTCAAAACCCCAAGGGCTGGAGGGATCCACTTTCACCGCCTATACAGCAACTGTAAGGGAACCCACTAATACAAGAAAGATATCACGCATACCTCATTTGCATCCTGTAGTGCATCCTCCCACAACTCTTTTGCAGCCCGAGCTCGGCTTCGTTTGATGAGCAGACCTGCCGGACTTGGAGGACTGAGGGACAACGCAGCAGAGTACTGTGTTATTGCGTCATCATATTTTGAAGATCCAAAAACACTGTCGCCGACGCGCTCAAGTTTCGCAGCACATTTTTCGGTGAAATCTGATGACAGACATGAATGTGCATGTCAGCTAGCAGTTACAAGACATACCTGAGATCCAACCCGCAATTGCGTCTCTTTCCTTGTCTGCTGTCCGCATGATATTGAGGAGGATCTCCGTGGCTTCGGCAGTACGACCTTCAGCATAGAGGGCGTCACATAGATGTTGCTGAGCAACGATATCCAGTCCGCTGAAACTCCACCCGAATATCTTGATGGAGGGTTGCATTAATAGGCGGCGCTAGTAGCGGCAGAAGACCTACGAGCGAAATTGTCACTAGCGGAGGACATTGTTTGTCTTCGGGGGCTAGGCTCTTCGCACGCTCAATCAATAGTATCGCATGTCCATAACTTCCCTTCTTCAGGTACATAATTCCAAGCACCTGTGCGGTGAGTCAGCAGCGATAATTATATGTCTGCGTCACGCAATGCACGTACCTGGGTGTAGAGGTATGTGGCGTCGTCGTCGTCATCATTGTCCGCTGTTGTAACAAGGTACTCTGCACGCATTATCCTGTCTTCTTGATTTCCAGATTCGAAGACAAGAATCGACTGAGCAGAATGTAGATTAATTGTGAGAACGATCTAGATCACTTGGCGCACCTTCAACAGTAAAAGATATCTGATGTCGTGCAGCTCACAATCATAAAATGCAAAGTCGAATGTGCGTAGCGCACCCTCTCGATCGCCCTGTCTAAGTAGAGCAATCACCATCGCGATATGGCCTATAGGTGATCGCTGAATCCGGAGGGACTTGATGTGTATGTGAGCAATCATACAGATGGAGCGGTGAGGAAGGGAATCACCTCTTTGGCATCCTCTATCGCAGCTGCCAGAGTTTTCAGTCGTGCTCGTATAAGTGCGCGGTTTGCCAGCCTATAGTGGCTAGGGCTTGAATCGCTCGCAATTTCTGCTGACAGCAGCACTTCGGTTTTCGCTGGGTCATCTTGCGTCCACAGCCCGAAGGCCTCATCACTCACTACTACGAGCGGAAACTGAGAAGCGCAGAGCTGTCGACGAATTAAAGCATTACGCTGTGCGGGAGAATAGCATGACGATTGTTAGCGAAGCGAACTTTATGAGTGGACATAAACTTACACCATCGCAGAGACGCCTAAGTGAAAGGACATCTCTGAGATCGTGAATTGTGATATCGGTCCCATTTCCACATGCGAGATACCGTCCACTTTGTGAGAGAGCGACACATGAGACTGCTGTGTTGTGCGTGATAATACTACCGATCTGCATGTGGGACAAACAATCCCATAGCGAAACCGATGAACCTGCGGCACATGCAAAAAATCTGCCATTGGATGCCATAGATGGTGGGGATTGGTCTTCATGGATCGACCATTCTGAAGACTGAAAGCTAGAAAGGTTAAAACAGATGATTTTGCCTATGTTCGCGACGAACAGTTGCAGGCCATTAAACGACCAAGCCAACGAAGGGCGCGGATAGCCGGTGGTGCAACCGCGTCCTCCTGAATCGAACAAGATATTGGCATCATTGGTGCTGTAGACACGGAAACCAAGTATCGTCGAGACAGTCGCAAATCGAGTGCCGTCCGGAGAGAACTTGACACTAATAACGCCAGGATGTGGGAGGGGAGGGTGAAGTCGTTCGCCGGAAGTGATGCTGAACATCTGGACGTTGCTCTCGTCCGCAGTGGCAAGTTTAGTACCGTCGCTCGAGATATCGATTCCGTATACATAGCCGTCGAGTCCTTTGAACTCGCGCACTTTTTCATGAGTGGCTGCATTCCAAAGGATTGCCGTGTATCTGTAGTCTCCAGCCGCGATCCAACGGCCATCCTGTGAAACGACAACACACATAAGTATTTGCTTTCATGGTTGGACCCTGTTGCTGCCCGTCTTCAATCTTCCATCGACGGATTTCGCCACTGTATTTATGTGCTCCTATGACCTGGCTTTCGCCCGCAAAGGCTACTGCATCTCCTTCACTCTGAAATCCGTTTTCAATCCGTTTCGCACCTTAACCGCCACAGCGAACTGTCAGTAGGGCCGCCTCAGCCTCTCTGACTGCTGGTACGCACCCATCGTCATCGCTAACAAACCCGCTAACACAGTTCGTCCTGGAGCTTAGAGGGGAAAAGAACGATGCATTGCAGACTTGCTCGCGGCGCCCAATATATGGCCTACACGTTCCTCAAACTATATCGATATCGATCAGTCCACGCGACCACAGTCACATCGTGTTCTTCAAGATCAGGATATCGATGAGGATTTGGCAGTGCAGGTCTCAGTAATGATCCCTGAGCTCCACAAGATCCGGTTTTCGTCTGCACGAGGTCACACGTAGGGTAAGGGTTGGTGGAAACGTGTCGAAGGAAGACATAGTAACGTATTGGCATATCTATAATCATCTAATCCCAGGAAATTATCCAGCGTATGCATCAAGTGCCCTCTGCCCCGCCATCGGTCCCGCCAGGTCTTTGGGTTCCACCATGTCCTCACACTTGCCGATACCCTCACCAGGATCTGAATCCAAACCTGCCAACAAAACTAAGGCCTTACGCGATCATAAAGCAAATCCGGGTCGCACCCTCGTCTCATGTTCATCAGTAGGCACGTCAACACGTGCCCACTCCAACGAGATGGGAGAGGTAAGATGTAGTACGACAGCGATATCGTCACCGGCAAATATCTCATCCATCGAAACGTGCGGCGCCTGACTTGTCGATACGTAGCCTCGTAGGAGTGCATAGGAGTGCACTACAAGACCTCGGAGCTGGAGTGCTGAAAAAATCCTCGCTTTGACTCAATGCTGCACTGAAGGCTGCTCTTCCCGTCGCTGTCATTGGCGGCGGTAAGGTGGGCACTGCCCGAATCCGATGTCGGCGTGGTCGACTGGTATTCCGGACTCGTCGGTGTGCCACTCAAGTAAAACCAACTTTCATGACGATCTCATCTCCACAGTGACTCATCTTCGCTGCACTTAACGTTACAGACGGATCATTAGATGGACACAGGGCAATCTAATATTCAGTGCAAGTTCTAACTCATCGCAAGCATGGAGGACCATCCACGACGACGATGACCCCATCAAGACCGTCGACGTGTACGAAGACTCAAGTACATGTCTTGGTCTGGCGTCTCGTAGTCTAATAAACACCTTTTGCAGACGTCTCACTACTCTCTAGACCTTGTGGGCCCACTTTGCCCGCGCACGACACATCTACAGGCCGCCCCATCTAACGTCACCTCTGCAACCCCGCTGACGCTCAAACACGTGAAGTACAACACAGAGCGAGCAAAACAGGGCGCATTTCGGTCGACTGGGGGAGGACGTACCTATTGCAGATGCGGTGAGTGCCCCAACACAACACTGGTCTAGGATGATGACAATAGTCCAAATGCTGGAGTGTCGAGAATTGCATCTCTCCACCTGTGAGACAGATTAGGTCATTTCCTCTTCCTCTTATGACTAGCTATGCCTGAGTCTCGTAAGGGCAGACATGCAGCCATTGCCAGGTCGCATCCAGTGGTGCATTTTCTCGTGTCGTGTCAATCATCCGGGAATCTGTCAAGTTTGAGTATCTGGGCAGGCAACGACTGAAATAGTGGGATCCGGGTAATGGATCAGACCGTTCGCTTACCACCCCTTCCTAGAGTGGAACGATGACCTCTCCGAGATGATTTGTACGCAGAGCTGTTCAGCTACAACATTCGTCACACACACAGACTACTATGATGCGCTATAAAGACAGTTGGCAGAGGCCACATTTCCTGCGTACACGCGTGCTCAACGAACGTGGCACAAGCTGTGCACCCCCGAGAATCCGTACTATGTAGTCCAAATAGACAATCACGTCATTGCACGAGGGCGCTTTCGTCAGTACTACTCGAGAATATAGTGTGGATAAGAATTTGCTGTTGATTTCTACGGTCGCCTTCTAACATCTCCTGTGTCTGACGCAAGGACCAAATCCCAAGCCAAGGCCCAACAGCCTCATTCGATCGAACCCCATGACATGTCTGCGGAAGCAGAGGTCCACTCCATCACTGAGTAGTGTTGGATCCTACCTTGATAAACTAAATCTGATGCGAACCCGGAGCTTAGGGGAACGGGCAACTTCCGTGCGGAGTCCATGTTTGTTTCTAGCGCCACTGGTATGTCTGTTGGTCGATAGCTTTGGAACCGGTTATGACAGACCAGTATCCCAGATTGTTCTCGGGCGTGGAGGTGTGTATGACTGCAATTCTATTTCGAGGGGGCCGTACTAAGTACATAATTCGTCCAGCACGAGCGGTGTTGATGGGTACGACATGCACAACGCCCCGTCATTCAATCGAGGAAACCGGTGGAGCCAGAATTGGATCCTGCTACATGTACAAAGAATAGGATCAGACAATACGTGTAGTGTTCTAAGCCTTCCTCGCTATCCCCCCTCTCTCCTAAGTGAACATGTCCTCTGGACCGACAATTGAGCAAACCGAAGGTAGCGAGCTTCAGAACTACTTAGGATGCCACTGACAAATCTAAAGCTGTCGGTACGGTGTTGCCCATCGCTGCGACGGTGGTCACTTCATTCCGTTTATTCGTCCGGACACGACACCGCCGTCTCCGGCTCGACGACGCATGGGCTGCGCTTACCATGGTATTCACTTATTATTTGGATGGTAATAGGCTGGTTGTATCTGGACGACTCCGGTGACGATGTCGTTTTTTCTGCCAGAGCAAGTCTTGCTGACTATGTACTACAATAGCTCGATTTCCTCAAAATACAAGGGTGGCATCGTATTATATGTGCATTCCTGATAACAAATCAGCATCACAGCATGCTCAAACATACTCTATAGAAACGCACAGGTTCTCCTATGCGGTCGTTTGGTGAGATAGAAATCTCGTCTCTCCGATCACGAGCAATCTCACAATGATTTTAGGTCGTCTAGGATCTCCATTTTATATACGGTCGTGCGACTGACTTTCCCTGGCGCACTTAGGAAGACGTTAGTGCTCACCGCTATCGTGTTTATGGTTGGATGGATGATCCTTGGCGCGGAAATCTTGTGGACCTGTGAAGCAGAAAGTGGTTGGAAAATCCCAACACGTCCTTCAGTGTGATATAGGTAGGAACGTTGTCATTGCGCAGGTAATTAGTGAGTCTGTTGTGTGCAGCGCCAACGAGATGGACCGTCTTACTTGCTATGTCCAGCCGACGTGCTCAGTGACACAATCTTAATACTGGCACCGTTCCGTCTGATTTACAACGTCAAGCTCACTAAGGCTCAGAAGATCCGACTTCTGTCTATGTTTTCGACGTCTGCTGTTACCACCGTCGTCAGCCTTAGCCATGCATATTACGCGCTTAATGATGGTGGGCTGAAAGCGATCATGGCTGCTACTGTTGAGGTATGGTTCTATGCTCCGTTAGCCATTCCAGTACAGCGCAGACTCAATCCTTTGCTTGACCAGGTGTCAATTAGCTTGATCGTGGCGAACTTGAGGGTAGTTGTCGCTTTCTTTCTTCCGCATCAGCACTGAAGAAACCACAACCCCTGCTCTGCCGGAACTCAAGTCCATAGTCACCATCGGCTCGCAGCCGATTTGGAAAAGACCACAGGTCCGTTCTATGACGGATGTGTTTGATATACCGTCATCTACATTGTCCCTATGGTACTTTTCATTCTTTTTCTGTTACTACTTGAACGATATTCCCGGTTCTACGTGACTAGCCCCCTCCGGCCACATGGGCTTGACATTATGAAGTCGATATCTGGGGTCATTGCCTTCCTCTGGTTATGGACCTATCACTCAAAACAAGCATGCTCCACCGGTAGAGCTCTCCGTCTTCCATTGCTCTCGAAGCTAGTTGTAGGTGCTCACTTCCACCCGAGTCGGACAAGGAAAGATTCGAAGTGAAACATCCAGCCTATATTTCGCCGGTTCGACGAATCTGCAAATTGTATCTTTCGTTCCCCTTATCCTCGACTTCATTGTTCTTCGCCTTCGGAAGCTGGCCGTAAGTCACCCACTTGCACCTGAGTCAGATAAGAAAAGATTCGAAACGGAACGGAACACTTGATCTGTTTTTTCTTCGGCTCTCAGAGTCCGTAAATTCCATCCCCCGTTCTCCACTGATTCTAGTTCCGACTTCACGTGCTCTTCCCGAGCGACCCTTCGGCGGCCCAAAGCGCTGCCTACGCAGTGCCAATGCCTTTTCCAGTACCCATTAGTTACGGAGGCATCGTCAAGTTTTACATCTCCGATTACACGGGACGGACTTGTAGGAACTCTTGTCTATATTTGTGGTTACTGGATTGAAGGATTGCGAATGGATCGCGCGAACTAACCTGTAGGCGTTGGCCCTGCTCGGCCGGGGCTTCGCGACAGACATCTCTATAGCTGCAACATGCAATCGGAGTAGGTGAGTAGAATCCGATTCAATCAAGGCCATTTCCGTCTCCTCCAACCAGGTTCCCCCACAGGCTTTATATATGTTTCTCTTCCATCCTTATCCCCTTCCCGTCAGACTCAGACGTACCATGTCATCATCCCACCATCGCATCCACCAATATGAATATGATCGAGTGACTACGACGGGTACGTAAAGAATGATGGAATCGCAGGATGTCGTTCTACTGTCATGTCATTTAACCCCACCGTGTTCGTGCTCGAATGAAGCACTGTCAAGATGGCGGCTTCCAGGCCAATTCTCCGTGAGTAGTGGCCTGCGCCATAGTCATAGATATTAGCTCCTGACTCATCCAACAACTACATAGCATTTGCAAACACTCTTCTGGTGTCCTATGAGCTCGGTAAGTAAGCTATGTCTCAATGTGATCACATGCACAGCGGAAGATAATGAATCTGTACCCTATCAGGCTGACTAAACGTACGAGAGAAACAATGGAAAAAGTCACGACTGACGAAGAGTAGGCTGCAGCGATTGCGAATGGTCCTCCATATGTTTTGCCAGAAGTGGATCAAGTGTTTCACAATACACCTTGTTGCTCGGTGTCGAGCGAGAGGGCCGACTTGGTGTTATCTTCGCCAACGATACCAAGCCAGAAGCGGATACATCGCATCAATTGGAAACGATAGATAATCAAAGCAAGGTGTTGGTGCGTGGCATATCGTAGAGGTGAGATGTCATCCCTCGAAAGAGAACGATAAACTAACGCAACTTGGGCCCAATGTACGTACTCTTTCGGCTGCGGAACAGCATCGATGAGATCGCTGACATTCCTACATATCCCATGAGGTATTGAAATGCCGTGCTGCGATAGCTACTCAAGTCGCAGATTCGGATGATCAGCAGAGCATGTCTGTGTGACCATCCGACGAGTCTCAACTAGGCCAAAGGATTGTTCCGTACAACCCCCCGTCTGCCGAGCCTCTCCTGTTCGTCAGGGCCAGCGCGTTCTGCGAGGAGTACATGAGGCTCGTTGTCGTTATTCGCACGTGAAAAATCAGTATTCGACATCGCCCATCAATCGTGATATTGAGTGGGGTCGGAGGGTGTGTGCGTGCATAGTATGTCGATAATGATGGTGAAGAGGAAGGTGGGCGGGCAGAGTGGACGACTGGCTGTGCAGAGTTTATATGGGCGGCTGGGCAGAGGTCGGAGCTGCCTTCCGGGTCAGCCTACCACCTTTGGACACTCACTTCGACCTCGCAATGATGAGACTTGGTACGTGATCATTTAGATTTCAATGCATGTTAGCACGTGTAGCCTGCATTCCATCGGCTATGTACATGGGGACACTGACCATGCCTCTTATACCACCCATCTCGATAAACTTGCCTTGTTACAGCCGTTGCTGGAGGAACCATTTTGATCGAAGTCGCAACTTGGCGTCGCTTACTCCATAGATATGTTAAAGCGATTCGAGAGGAACACGGAACGTGTGGGATCTTGGGCCTGTTAATTAGATGCCACCGTGCTGGACAGCTTGGATATGTGTAATGCGTATGCTGTTACACAACTGGATTTTGACCCACTGGGAAGTCAGCTGCGCTGGGTGTCAGGAGGATGAGTTAGTTCCGAGTGTCTTCAATGTTCAGCTGTGCGAAACACAACTTCTCCAATAGTTGTTTTTCGACCGAGGCAACGTACTCTTTGAGGTCCGTAGCAGGATCCTGTGCAAACGATGAATGTGCCTACGGTCCCGATGCACCTGCGAACGAATATCCCTTATATAGCTCTAGTATTGTCACGGTGAGATGTACTTCGGCCGGAGGAACTTGATGGCATATGGTGTGTGTGGGGTGGTAGTCGAATAGACGGCCTGAACAACAGTATTGATGTGATCCGAGTGTGGTCGGATAGACAAGATATATGTGGTGTGTGCGTACAGCCGTGGAGGGGGTGCACCTGCGACAGGTAAAGGGCAGCCACAGAAGGAGCATAGTGGCTACTGTGCAGTCCTCGGATCAACACTCAATAATAGCGTCGCCTGAGAAAGAATTGGGGCCATATCTTATCAGTATTTGCTGGCAATGCCTGTGTCGTGGTAACTGGCAATGGCGGAAGTACTGGGTACGAACAAGGGGACATCAAAGAACGCAGCATGCGAGAAAATATATGCTCACCACCTACATGACCGTACGCGAGCGCCATGCACATCAACCCGTTATCCGTACATCGGCTGCGATGGTAGGTGCATATACAATAGCCTGTAAGGACACGAGGCCAGTCGTGTTAAATGTACTCACTATAAAAAAATCATACTTCCCACACGAGTACTCAGTGCACTAGCACGAGTTTCGCCAACACTTCAAACGCACTGCTTAAGAGCGGCGGATGGTGAGTCCGACGATTGTCTAGCAGTGATTTTGTGTACTTGGAGGTTTGGATAAGAATTTGCCGTTGATTTGTGAGTAGGCGCACTTCCGACCACCTTTTACTCTAATACATTCAGCATCCGACCCAAGGAACAAATCCAAACAGCCTCATCCGTTCCAACCCCGTAGTATGCTCCCTGTGTGACAAAGATACTGTCGTACTATGACGGATACAGAAACTGCGCGTTGTTGCAGGTGCCAGCAAGCATCACACACATCTGCAAATCGCTTAGTGCTCTAAGAGCACCGTTAGAGCGCTTAGCATCAGTAACAGTGCGTGCCGAGCTCTCAAACAATTCAAAAACTGTCTGAAGCGCATGCTATAATTCGACCGTCTTGCAGATGCAGCTGGTTGACAACAATCAGGCACACAGGGTACTGCTCGAATATTTGATGGACCTTCACAGTAACGTTATACGTATTACATAATCGACTCCCAAGCCGCTCAAACCACCTCAACGTTTTCGGAACACTGAACTGACAGTATCACCTGAAATCTCAATGCATCGAGGAGCTTCCAATTGCTCTGGTGGCTGATGGCACTTGAAATATGCCACGGGAAGTAAGTATGACTTCAATTGCATTAATCTTCCTTCCTGATTAACTCCCATCACAGGGAATGAACTGTGACTAATAACGCACAGCATGGGTAACGTTGAGGTTTCCGACATTGTTGGAACCTTAAGTGATCCTTAGTACAAAGAAAAGCATCAGAAATAAAGATGTATGGTATTCTAAGCCTCCCCCCCGCTTCCCAAGTTGACATGTCGCCTTCTGGACCAACAATTCTACAAATCGAAGGTAGCAATTTACTTGAGAACTATTTAGGATGCCACTGACAAATCTGAAGTTGTCGGTACGGTCTTGTCCATCACTGCGATAGGTGGCTACTTCACTTCCGTTTGTCCGTGCGGGTGAGGCAAGGCCGTCTCTGGCTAGATGACGCATGGGCAGTGCTTGCCATGGGATTTAATATCAGTCATTTGGTGGTAGATTGGCTGTATTTGTATGACTATGGTGAGGACGACATGTTTTGTGCCAGAGCCCACCTAGTTGACTGACTGTACAATGCTAGCTCGATTTCCTCAAGATACAAGGGTGATATTGTATTATACGTGCATTCTTTTAATAAACAAGCGTTGCAGCATGCTCAAAAACATTTTATAGAGTCTCACAGATCTTCTATGCAGTTGTTTGGTGAGATAACGATCTTGTATCTCCGGTCTCGGGCAATCTCAGAATGTTTTTAGGTCATCCAGGATCTCGATGTTATTCACGGTCGTGCGAATGACTTTTCCTGGCCCGCTAAGGAGATGGCTGGTATGCACCGCCATCGCATTTATGGTTGCATGGATGATCCTTGGTGCCCAAATCTTTTGGACTTGTGCAGCCCAAAGTAGTTGGAAAATGCAACCACGCCCTCAGTGCGACCTAGGTAGGAACCCTGCCATTACGCAAATAATCAGTGAGCCTGCTGTGTAGAGCACGAACTGAATGGTCTGCTTAACTTGCTCCATCCAGCCGACGTGCTCAGCGACACGATTTTAATACTAGCACCATTCCATCTGATTTGCAAAATCAGACTCAACAAGGCTCAAAAGATCCGACTTATGTCTGTTTTTTCGACATCTGGTATAACCACTGTCGTCAGCCTTACCCACGCATACTATGTACTTTCTGATGGTGGGTTGAAAGAAGGCTTGACTGCTATAGTTGAGGTATGATTCTGAGCTCTGTTAGCCATTCCGGTACAGTGCAGACTCAATCGTTTGTTTCACCAGTCATCAATTAGTTTGATTGTGGCAAACTTGAGTGTGCTTGTCGCTTTCCTCTTCCGCATCAGCCCTGAAAAAACTACGACCCCTACTCCACCGGAGCTCACATCCATAATCACCGTCGATTTGGAAAGGGACACAGTACGATACCCTCACAGCGATGGTGCTGTAATTGAGAATACGGAAACAAAACTAGGTGATTTCAGCATGTTTCCAAAGCAAGCGGCGGGAAGAGAGAGCAGTGATGCCGAGGCTGTATCCCTTGAAACGCTTACTAAACCAGGTCTGTGGAATGACGCTTGACGTATCGGATATTCTGTTCCTCCTATAGGCTCGTCATTCCCTTTTCTGATACCGCTTGAATGATATTCCCGCTCTTAATAGTCGTGTCTTTCAGTCCCATGGCTTCATGAAATTGATGTCGAGTGCCATTATTTTCGCCAGGGCCCTCTAGGAATAAACGTTCAGTTCATGCCCTACTGGTAGCGTTCTTCATTGTTCCAGGTTACGCGCAAGTTGCGCCCGAGTCGGACAAGGGAAGATTTGAGACGAAACGAAGCATCCCATCTACATCCCGCTGGTTCGAGAAGTCTACAAATTCCATCCTCCATTCTCTTTGCTGATTCGAGTCCTGACTTTTGACACATGCATCCCCTGCACGACCCTTCGACGTCCTAAAGCTCTACCTCCGCGGCGCCGCTGCCTTCGCCAAACCCACTGGTGACGGAGGTATCATCGGGTTTACGTATTTGATCGCACGGGGCGGATACACAGGAGCTTCTGTTTATATTCGTTATCACAGGACATATCCAACTGAAGGGTTGCGAAAGAAAGGCGGGGATCAATATGTAAGGTTGTCCCTGCTCGGTTGGGACTCTGCGGCAGACCATTCTAAGACCGCAAACATACGCTCGCAGTGGGTATATAGGATCCGATTTAACCCTGGCAAGGCAATTTCATTCTCCGACGGGCTCACAGTCGTGTCTCCCCCATCTTCATCCCCCCCCCCCGGCAGACTCAGATGTACCACCCCACACCCCATCATCACGTCCACGAATACGAATGGGTAAGTATAGCGGGTGCACGAAGAACGACGGAAACGCAGGATGTTGTGTTTGCGTTTGAATGAAGCACCTTCAAGACTGCGACTTCCAAGCCAATTCTCATGAGTAGTGCCCTGTGCCATAGAAGTAATTACTGCTGAGGAGGTCAAGTACATACATAGGCGCAAGACGTACCTGAGGCCTGAGACCTGATGGTTATGTCCAATGGAGTCAAGAAACGAAACTCTGTTTCTTTTTTTTTCTTGCTATTTTTACGTAAAAACAAAATCCCCGGGACAGAGCCTGAGGATACATACTTCCCGAATCCAAGTTGGCTAAGTGGCTTCGATGAGCCTCTACTGATCAAAGAACCCTTCATCAGCTATACCCATGGTTCGTCACAGAATGTCAGCATACACTTTCTGTTTAGGTGTGACCATCAAGTGGTGCACATCGGTACACAGTTCCGCCTGGCTGACTGACCTTGATGAAGCAATCTTCGACGGGAGTCTCGTTGCCCAGCTCATAGCAATCACCGGTTAGCACTGCTGGAAGTCCCTCTAGATACTTGATGGGGTCGTCGTTGGGGGCTTGGATAGTGAAAACAGCCACGTAGAGATTCCCGGCATCGCATAAGAGGACAACGTAGAGACTAGCCATGCTGGGCAAGAGGAGGATTATCAGACCCCAAATAGAAACTCGTCGAGAGATGCTCATACATGATGGTCGTTGACTTGGCAGTTGAGTATACTGAAGGTAAATGAGCAAGAGTTGGGCTGCTTTTTTACATTGGTTAGAGTCCATCTGGTATAGCATAGTCGGATCAATCCCGTTCGACTAGTTCCCTTTCATTCACAGTCATCCGTGGGCGAATCACGGAGAGCAGCCAGGTGAGAGTCGAGACTGAATACAGAAACAAACGGCACGTCCAATGACAACAAAGTTAAGCTCATCCACCTAATAGGCTTCAAAATACATTACCAAACATTTTTCACGTCTGTTGGTACAGAGGCAGCGACTTCGAAAGTACCGAATATGCAATTGAAATATTGCGTCAGAGAGTGGTCAGGTGCTACGCCATTTTCGAGAGTTGAGACCGAACGTGGAACATGCGCCACCGTGCCAATATTCACCTTATCCGTCTAGGTTTCGGACAGGACGTCCAGACTTCAAAGTACGAGGAACAAAGAAACAAACGCTGCCGGGCCACGGCCCTCCTCGGATCGCGCTCAACGTGACGAAGAGGAACGCACATCGCTCCTCTCTTTAGCCCGTTTCGCAAACACCCCATGGTCTTGTGGCTCGACAGCGGTTTCACCGCAGGCGACCCCCCACAAGTGCCAAGCGAGCATAACAACGACGGCAGGGGAGAGAACAAAAGAGAGAATATAAGTCGCGATGAAGAAAAAGAAGAAACGAGTGAGGAGTCCAGAGCTGATAGAGAGACATGATTATGGTGGTGTTGACGAGGAGGGAAGTATGAGGCAGGAGGCGGGGAGAGGGGAAGGGTCGTACGGCAAGCGTGAATCCGAGAATGGTGTAAATGGAGGTGGTAAGGACGAGGTATGCCCTACGTCAGCAACGGTTCACAACCATTCGCATCAGCGACATGGAATGTCAAGTTGAAGAGATGCACACATACATGAAGAGGACGAGATGGCGTTCGTTTTATAGGCCTACGCATGGATGGATCCCTGTGCACCAGACGCCCAGCACTCGGCATTGTTGAACCAGAGGAAGGTACTGACACTACACGTGATGTGTCATCAGTTGCGGGAAAGGGCAATGGGGACTCACGGAAACAGTGATGATCAGATTTGAGCATGCAATAGTTACATATGCGGCAGTGAGGTGCGCTCTGCTGGACGTCAAGTATACATCCACACAAAGGGAGAAGTGGTGTGACGTACCTCGGGCCGTGCATCCTACATCGAGACATGCGTGCGTGGATGATGTCCAAGAGTAAGCTCCCATTGGAGGCGTAGCAGCCGCTGCCATTGACGAGAACGAGAGGTTGACGAATTCTGGTGGGACGATATAGACGTGGTAGTAATGCCCAGCTAGGTTCAGTGCGATGAGCACACAGAAGGGTGTCGTCAGCCATGAGATATTATGAAGTAACCCTCCAGCGACGGTTTCACGCCAATCCTGTAGGCATGTCAAAGAATCCTATATCGCGTTTGCATGTCTCCCAGAAAACGGCGGACGAGTCACGTTCCCCATTAATGCGATTAACTGATTTACTGCTACTGTGATTGTCGCGCTCGGTGAATCCTAAGGCGTCCGATGGTAAGGTAGTGATACAACTCCATCCCTGAGGTCTCACCGCTACCGCAGAAGAGATGTGATTGATTCGGTTCCTGCTGCTGCTGAAGACAAGCCCGCAGGCACGACTCGTGGCATACCTTCTGGCGTAAAATCTGCACATTTATTTTTCGCGGCCGCACTGCCACACTACCGCGCCCAAACCGCGTCATTACCTTTTGCAGCCGCACCGCCACACCACCGCGCCCATTCGACCGCGTCATTACCTTTTGCAGCCGCACTGCCACACCACCGTGCACATTCAACCGCGTTTTTATGTGTTGCGGCCGTGCAACTGCACTGCCACACCCACTTGATTGCATCACTGTTACCTTGCACAGCTACACTACCATGTTATTGTATAATATATAGATGATATTTCCTTTGTAAACTCAACTACTACACCATGCCCAATTACATTACCAGTGCCACAAAGCACAGAAAAATATTTCCAGGGTGTAACACAGGGAGGAGGCAATTGTGCCACTACACTTGGAGCATCCCATCCCAGCCTATGAACTTTTGATATGTTGTAGGCACACATGGCCCCTTTAAAGGGACATAATAACTAGATAGATATGTCCAATATATCAAAAAGGTGTCAACTTTGTCAGTTTTTCCCCCATTACACTTTCCAACCATTTATGCCCATTAGGATGGGCAGAAAAGCATTTATTTATGGTCTAATACAATTATAGTACATTTAACTATCATATGCAATGCCCACAGGGCAGGGACAGAGCCCAGGAAGGAAGGGGAGGCTGGGGGCAATGAGGGCAGTGTGTGGGAATGTTGGATATCAGGCACATGCAAAATGAGGACATGTTTTGGGAATAGTGGCTGTGCATTGTGTGACACAACTTCTGGGAAGCATGTGGCTAAGGGGAAAGCTGAAGGGAATTCCCTAGGCTTGTCCCAAGGGGTGCTGAGTGGGAAAGGGAATAGAATATGACTGTAGAGGCAAGTAGGTAGTCAGGTGTAAGTTGCAGAATTTAATTCTGGGAGGCAGTAAGTGCATGAGACACAGAGAAGCTGGGTATATGAAATTCCAAACAGTGTTCTTGACTTGTTGGCAGTATTTCTGAGATGAGGGTTATGCAAGTAGGGACTTGTGAATGCAGAGGATGCAGGAGGCACTGAGGATGCTGTAGACACTGTAGAGGAAATAGACTCTTTAGACTCTGGGAACTCTTAGACTCACAAATATTCCAACATCAAGATGGAATTATATAGTACATGGGGTATAGGTATGAGTCAGAATAAAGTGGGGTGGGTTATGAAGTACAGGAACATATGAAATTGGACTGGTAAGTAGTAAACAAGGGAGGCAAAGGAAAGGATGGGCATCTTCCACAGGATGAGGGTATTTCATACTACAGTGTGAGATGTGAAAGGCAAAGTTTGTAGGGAGAGGCAGTGGTGCTGAACGGAAGAGCATATGAATGTGAAGTAAGGTTTGCAGAATTTGGGGCAACAGGGGTAACCAGAGTTTTTTACTGATGTCTGACAAGACTGACTGGTAACATGGTGGGGCAGTGGCTAGGGTGACACAATTGCAAAATTGCAGATCAATGTTCTGATGGCTCTAGATGGCATGTTGATGGCCAGGGGAAATTCTGAAGCTGACAGGGGATAGGAGAATACATGTGGTGACAAGCAGAGAGAATTCCAAAGGCAACAAACTGGGTAACACTGATAGGGGCTTGCCTTGGAGGTGGCAGAATTAACTGATGGTATCCTGCTTCAGCCTCAGGGAGTATACAACTCCCTACAATGTTTTTATGCTTATGTAATCACATAAAAGGCAGAGGAGTAATGAAAATTACCTGTGGGGATTTGTGGAAAAGAAACTCCTAAGGGGAGGGGGGAGATCTCAGATCTGCATTACTAGTACATTGATGCATCACTACTGGTAGGAGGGAGTTAGGCAGTCTTGCATCACAGTTATGCTGCAATTATCATAATTGATGCACCAGGAGGACAGGGAATGGTGACTCAAGTAGTTAAATTATGTTGCTATATATGTAGTATGAAGTCATACCTGATGTCATAGCCATGTCTTGACCCTGGCCAGATTCAGTGTCACATTCACCCAGTCTGGCCTCAGCCTTGCCAAACCTCTACCCCCAGTTGGTCTAGTGTGGTGTAAGGAAAATCCAAGTAGCTGTATAACATGAGCTAGTTGGTTTAGATAACAACAATAAAATGAAGGGAGTGAATTGCTTGTCTCAAAGGATTCTGGACTGTTGAAACTAGAAGGCAGGACTCAGCACTTTGTAGTGGTAGGGTTTTGTGGCATTTTCAGTGTGTTCCACAGTGTAGTACTGGCAATGCAAGCAGTATACATAGTTCATGCACAGTGGTTTGCAAGGCAGGCAGCATAGACACAGACCATGGTAAAAGAAAGAGTCTGAAGGAAAGGAAGTAACCAGAACAAAGTGACCACAGGTATAGCAGTGTGTGAGAGGGTGCAAGGGTGTGGGAAGGTAGCATGTGAACAGTGGTGGGTGCAAGCAGTATGGAGACATAATGATAGCCACAGAATGGTTGATAATAGGGGCTTACACATCTAGGGAATGCAGATTCCTCACAGTGGGTGGCACTACAAAGCAGTGCTACTATGAAGTGTCATTTTGGTTGAGCCTGACCCAGCCTCATCCCTGGTCCACCCTCATCTCTCTCCCAGTCTCTGGTCACCTTTGTCATGCCTTACTAATACTGTTCTTACCAATCATATTATCAATCATTGTGAGACCAGCATTACCAATCTCTGAACTATAGCTACCTCTAGTATATAAGCTCATAGATACTTGGCCTGTACTTCTTCAGTCCTGGACTCTCATCTTGGCCTCAGACTCAGACTGCAACCCCTGCAAGGGAATAGCACTGTGTCTCCAGTCACTATGTCCAATCAGTCCACCATCCAACTGCTGCCCCCTCTCTGTTCCCAACTCCTTGGCCTTGCACTCTCACCAGTCTCCAGTCCAGTCTTGAACCTGGCCACCCTGGACTTGACACCTGATGTGAAAATCTTGAGTCTACCTTCCACTGAGTGGTGCAGTGTACTATTACTGTTATGCCTGCATCAGGGGTCTTTCCTTTTTTGACTCTTTTCAGTCATGTGCATCACATGCCTTGTCACATCTCTCATAATCATTGCCATCCTAGGGGCTCATTCAGATCTCCAGCTGTCAAGGTATTTCAAATACCTGTTGAGACTGCGCCTCCTGCTTGATCTGATCCCCCACTGCCCTCTTTGATGGACAACATGTTACATTTCCACTTTATGACTCACTTCTGATTTGTTTATATTGCTCTGATGCTGTACTATAGATCCAGTGTCTGGTTCCTCACTGTGCATTGATTGCACAGCCAGTATAGCCTTCATTTCCATACCTATCCCCATCATATGACACTGTATGACTTGTTCTGACTTATCTATTTGACTGATGCTTTTGTTGATTACTGTGGATATGCATTGTGACTGGTATGGTACTCATACTTAGGAGTATATAAACCCCCATACTTTACCTTGTATCCTCAGTTTTTCAATAGCTTGCAACTCAGCTTCATCCCTTCACTCTCATCCTTGTTCCCTCCTCTGTGTGATCTCAGAAGAACTCACCAGCAGGAGCAAACCTCTGTCAGACCACTGCGATAACTGAGCCATAGGGGTTATGTCACATTCAGCCTGTAGACTCCCCCTTGTGTGCTTCATGCCTATTCCATTTGAAGAAGTCACTGTGCTCAGGCATAACAAAATCGAAAAACTCAATGCAGCTTTTGGGACTTGTTGACCTCTTCATGAAAGTCTACTCATCCCTGGTTACTGAACTTCAACAAACCACTTTCTCTCTCAATCACAAGGCTCGTTGGTCTCCCTACATGTAAAGACTGACTTGCTTTCATCTCTACCTCTCAGTTTGATATCAAGATTGAGAAACACCCCTCTACCCTCAATCAAGTCCACTGCTCTACAGGCAGCCACTAGGCTTTAATAGATCACCTCCCTAGAGTCAGCACTTGTGTTTCCCTACATGTAAATTCACTCACACACCATCCAATAACCCCCTATGCTGACAGGTTTCTTTTGAGAAATAAATCC